ACATGTTGCCTGGCTTGTCTTCACCAACTGCATCTTCTTCTGCCCCGTAGCAGTTTTCTCCTTTGCCCCTCTCCTGACTGGCTACACAGCCGGGGGCCCGGAGATCGCCAAGTCTGTCACCCTTATTTTCTTCCCGTTGCCTGCGTGTCTAAACCCTGTACTGTACGTGTTCTTCAGCCCGGCCTTCAGGGAGGACTGGCTGAGACTACGTGGACTCAGAGGTTTGAGCAGGGAGTTTAAGGCTGGTGCTGAAAGCCACGGGGATGATGGCAGTGGAGGGTCGGAGCTCACAGACGGGGGCTCATCTACCCACCTGGGATATGACTGTGGGATGTACACACAGCTCTGTGGAGAGACAGGTTTGTGTGAGCAGTGCGAGGCAGCACTACATGCCAGGGCCTGCTCTTCCCCCTCAGTCTGTAGACACTTGGTGAAGTCTCATAGCTGTCCCACCCTTCTGGCAGGAGCTGCACTCTGTCAGCACGCTGAGGGGTTTTGGGCAGACAGCGGCACACCCTCTGCTCAGTCTGAGTATGCAGACGAGGGGGACTCATTTGTGTCGGACAGCTCGGACCAGGTTCAGGCCTGTGGCAGAGCCTGCTTCTGTCAGAGCAGAGGACTCCCTCTGGTACACTACTCATACAACATACCTCGAGTCAAAGACTAAGGATGCTTCAGAGCACCACATGTGAATTTAGATGCTACAAGGATATGTAAACATTTTTATAACAGACAAAATGTGCCAATCACCCTGCTAAAGACTACTCAAAGAGCACTTATGTTTGTATTTACTGTGTAAACAGAGATGCAATCACTCTTTAAAGGGAACTCAGTAAATGATCTGAACTGAGCACTTCATGATTCAAACTGGTCTACAAAGGATCTTGCAAAGAAGAATCTTGCCACCAGTGCCTGCCTCTTGCTTTAGAATGGAGATCACAATGTTGCAAGCCTCAATGTGTGTCAACAATTTTGTGATTCATCAGTTTGAACTGATCTCATAAGCTTTTCATTTTTAATCGTTTTACATATTTTCCAAAAATTTACTTCTCCACAGCAACTGTTGATTTTATACTCTGATTTTTTTTTTTTTTTTACATAAATGTAGCACATGTAATAATCATCCCAGACTGTTCTGTGTGAATGTAACTTTAGGTGGAAGAGGGATATTCTTACATCAGCAATAACTTCTTCCCTACCTTGCCTCTATAATCTACCGTCTGAGAATGGTTTGAGTAAATGCCAGTCTATTCTAAACACTTCTTTGCTTTAAGACTAAGAATGTGATCAAAGTAGCAGATATCACTGTTTTATTAACAGCTATGCTCGGTGGTGGTGAAAGACGTTATTTATTGTATGAGCAGGAGCGACAATTTCAGGTGTATGAAAGACGGCCTTTGAATAATGAATACGATATAACCCAAGCATTCACCTAAACAACAGCAGCTCTTGTTGTGTAACCCTCAATAGAACACATACATGTCTAGGTCATTATTTTTATTAGTTTGAAGGATAATTACAGTTACTTTTAAATCTGGGCCTTCATTTTTACAGATTTTGTTTTGTTTGATTTGGATCAAACTTTATTTCTTTATTTACAGGATTATTCGCTGTTTTTGGAGGAAGCCTCATAATACCTCGTAACACCGGTTATCTTAGCTTAGCCAAGCTGAACACAAAGTTTGGAAGCAGATGGAAACAGCTGGTCTATTTAATCTTTTCAAAAGTGTCATAATAAAGTCTGATGTATGTCGCTTTGAGTAAAAGTGTCTTCTACATGAACTGTAGAATTGTAGTTAAACATGCAAAATGTAAAGTATCAGTAAGTGAGATTTAGAGCTGTTTTATAACACAGTCAAGCTTACTCTTAACACTGTTTCCACTCTATTTCCAAACCAAAATAAAATCAGTTTACCAATCCCAGGTCCTTATCTTACTCTGGGTACGATATTTCTCAAAATGTCAATAGAAAAATGTTGAAGTATCTATTTAATGACCAACACACCTAAACCAATTTGTTTATCTAAATCAACAATTTCACTTGAGTTTAAGAGTAATGGCTGCTGTATGTTTTTAGTTGATTTACCACTTATCTTTGGACATAATTTAGCTTATGATTGACAAGTTAAACACACACATACCGTCCAAGTTCAACACCTGAATATAATCCCACTCTTTATATTATTTTTTTCAACATGATTTGAAAGCAGCACAAGACTGGCAGCCAGCTGAGTCAACAACAAAGTGAAAATGCTTTGCCAAAAAAAAGACATGAAATGGACCATTGTAAATGAAAACAGGGTGATTATTATTGTCCTGTGTATTCAAAGAGACAGAACCTGTAGTGTGCATTTTTCATTTAAAGGATTATTTGTTAAAAGTTTCGAAGCACACGGTCGGTCTGTGTGCTATGAAATATGTTATTTGACATGGTGGTACAAAAAAGAGAAAATAAGGCCTGTGTTTAATCCCCTTCCTCGTGTCTTTCAAACACTCATTGTCTGTTCATTCTAGTCTGTATTACTCTGAAAATTATTTTATTGTAATTTAATGCAGATCTGTTTTCACCCTGAGAGCTGAGCTGTGTGTGTCGGGAGATTGACTGATGTTTGGTGTGATGGAGCATGACTGTACACATTGAGGTGGATACACCCTCGGAGCATGTATCCACAAGTGCATGTCATGTGAGCGCTCAGGAATTTAGCCAACATAGGGAACCGTTTTCTGCCACCAACATGTCTCCTTATAATGCGACATCGAAATGTTATCTAATGGGGTTTTTATTTTCATTTTTTAGGAATTGTCTCGACTGGGTGTGTAAACTCTTGCACCATTCAAAATGTCTGTCAATTGTTTTGAAATGTCCCATCTGGTGAAAATGTCCAAACCTTTTTTTTTCTATTAGTTTGGTTGTTGGTTTTTGTATTGTAATGTAAATTATTTGAAAAGAATAAAGTAATCAAGAATGGGATGCTAACTAAGGAAGCTACCTCCTCTACTGTAGTGGCCGCCAGCAGTGCTTTGTAAAAGAAAAGTCTGTTTTTCTTTTATCTTGTTTTTTTTTTTTTTTTTGCTTTTGGGCTCGATGTTGAAATGTGTTGTACATCATCATTTAAGAAAAGTACAAATTGTGGGAGGAATCTATGTACTGTATACTGTGATTTTTTTTTTTAAACCAAACAATAAAACTATTAAATTTTATTTTATTTTTTTTATAGATACAAATTTGCAGAATAATCCAGATTATAAACCCAATCTCACTGCAAATTACATTTTTATTTGTAGTTTTTCATGTGAGATCTTTCCAAGGGGTCCATCTGTTAGGAATAAATCTGTTTATTGTGAATGAATAAAATTGGAAGAACACAACCTTTTTGATTTACTTCTGTGTAACAATGTGCTGCTTTTATTTTCTATGTAAAATAGGGACAGTGCACACTTGTGAATATAAACATGTCAATATGCCAGATGGCAGGTTTATTTATATTAATGAAACAATTATTCTGAACAAAATGAGCTCTTACCAATTTTACCAGGAGTGGTACACAGGATGAATCCTCGTACATTGTTGACCTCCTGATCCCTTGGTGCCACAGTGAGGTCAACAATCCAACACTGTATCCTTTTGTTTTGTTCTGACCTTTTTATATTGACCTGAGAAGCGTTTTCTGGCACAACTTCATCAACTACCAAAGTGCATGGAGAATGAAGTTGATGTTTAAACTAAAAGTGTTACTGGAGCTGACCTCTTTTGTATTGGGCTTATCACAAGGTTCACATTTATGGTACTTTGTGGTCAGTGTTAATTAGTGTTTTATGCACGATTTCCATTGTGTACCGCTCCAAGCTTTTAATCTACATTTAAGAGTTATTGCTCTTTTAATTCACTAAAGTGTATTTGTTGCCTTCAAGTATAGCATTTATTTTGTAGATTAACTCAAAATAAATCAGGAACAAATGAGTCATGATCTATTCACTCGCAGCACCTTCACCAGCTGCAGTGTTGTAATTTTACATCAATGCATACTTGTTGAGGTTGTTTTTTTGTTGTTGTCCTGGTTTGATTTCACTTTACAAAGTGTTTTTGGCTACTTCTTCATCCACTGCTAATGTTAGCATTTAGTTCAAAGCCCCACTGTGCCAACAGGCCAAACTTCACAAAGCTCCATGTTGCAGACTGTAGTCATTATAGGCTATTTTTATTACAAACTGCCCGTGGAAACATCATTTTAGGTTTGACATTTTACTTCAAATGCCTCACTTTCTAAGCCTACTAACCTGTAAAGAGTACTTGTGCCATTTAGTTGCGTTTCCTTCATCGGCAGCCATGAGTCATGTTAACCACTGCTGGCTCCCGTCACAGGTTCAGAGCTTTAACTCAGCGGTGAGTGAAAAATAACTTGTGATTGTATAAAGAAGCAGACATGAAATATGATAAGGATATCTAGCTTGAACCCAGCAGGCTTTCCACATGTAATTTGCGGACTTTGGTGAAAACCCAGTGTCAAAACACTTGGCTCAAATGAAGGCGGTGTGAGACATTCATCAAGTATGTTAATAGTGGTGCAGTGACAAGAACAAGGCTCGCCTGGATCTTTTGCAGCTGGACGTTGTGAGGGGGCAGAGAAAATATTTACATTACAGGCATCAAAGACATTACTGTCGTGTGATGTTACAGCAGCTCCAGCTCCATGTGTTCCTCTTCACTGACACATGTCCTCCGTGCTAAAAAAGGACATCCCAGCTATTCCAGCGCCTCACACACATCCCCCTGTGGTGTACACATTAGGCGCATGCCTCACACCTCTAGCTTTAGTGGGGCTTTGTCACAATACAAGTAATCCCTCTCATCCATTCCTCTGGACTTCTGAGAATCAGCCAATGTGTACTACATCGATCATGAAGGCACTTTGAGAATCTGCAGTAAATTTATAACCTATTACATGGTAACATAAAACATATATCAAATATAAACAGAAAGAGAAAAAACACCCATTATGATGTTTTTAAAGCACTTTTTATACACAGAATAATCAACATTCTGTAGTCATTTTCCTCTATCACCTGAATGAGACAGGACAAAAAACATACATTACTTCAGAAATATTACCACTTTCTTTTCCTGGACAACAACATCCATTATCTTTAACTACAGAACATAGTGGTTCAATTTTTCCCATTTTAATGACGCATAAATATGAAAGATTCCTTTCTAAAGAACAGCAACCTCAAGCATGATCCCCCAATATATTCAGTAATCCGGTCACCAACATGATACTGACATAGAAGTGAGGTTGACATGATGCAAACTAATAGAAGAGATTCGAGGAAAATTGTGCAGAAACAAGAAAAGGAAAACAATGTGGGCTAAACACAGTTTGTGATGCAGGTGAGGAGTTTTTTTTTTTTTTGAAGACCATTCATCTTCTCTTCAGTCTGCAGCTGGAACCTCCTACTTCTTATCCTCTTTCTTTTCTTCTTTTGCAATTTGAGCTGCAAGTCAGAAACAAAAGACAAAACACAGAAACAGAGATCAATCCATTGCATACATTTTAACAGTACAATTTTTTTGATTCAAACCTCCAATGCACTTAAAGGCAGCAGATTAAAATATTTACATTTCTTAAATTGATATTAAAAATATGTCAACAAAACTATTCACAAATACTGCAGACATGAAGCAATATTTACTCTTCTTTTTGCCTCTGTTTTTGGGTCCACCAACTCCCAGGGGAAAGTCTGACAAGTTCCTAAAATACTCCTCCATGTCCAACAACTAAACTAAATATATCAACCTTTAATCTTCTACTTGGCAGGAAGTGTTAGAATGGTTTGGGGAGTTTGAGATAGTGCTGAGGGTCAAAACAGTTTAGTTATCAGAGTGACACCTCTAATAGTCAACAAGTATTTATGTGATCCATTGTTTATAGCTCCTTTTAAAGCCCTTCAAATGTCATACATCTAAGCCCTTAGAATTTGACCTAGAGACAAAATGTTGAGGGGAAAAAAAAAAGGTGGTTAATGTGTACATCAGATAATTGTCCTTAAGCTCAGATGATTTGACAAATCCGTGTAAAGCATTTATCAGTGCGTGAGGTGGAGTTGGGTGTTAGCTCGGGATCAGAGGCTGGTTTGAAGCATGACGAGACAAAAAATCATCAGTAAAGGTGAACAGATAAAAGAGGGAGGGAGACACACAGGGATCAGGACTTAAAGATCTATTTAAACCTTAAGAATATATTCATGAAAACTTGTTAACAATGCAGGGCAGTGATTTTAACACCATGACGATATGCGCTCATGTTTCTGTTTGCTGTTACTATGGATACTTCTTCTAGTTAATCTTACAGCTGTAACATTACGATGATGTAGATTCTTTATATTTAAATGCTAAAGTATTTCTTCAACATTTCTCAGTTATACCCAAAAACATTGTATTTTGGTATAAATAATGGCGAAAGAAAACCCATATTCCGTTTGACAACATTTTTATGGATTCACTGTAAAAACAATTGAATTCAGGGTAATTCTTGCCTTACTTAAAATCTGAAATATGTTTATTTTAAGGCTTTTTATGCCTTTATTTAGAGATAGGACAGTGGATAGAAATCAGAGAGCGAGAGAGAGAGTGGGGAATGACATGCGGAAAAGGACCACAGGCCGGAGTTGAACCCGGGTTGCCCACTTGGAAGACCAGAGCCTCCGTACATGGGGCACGCACTAACCACTAGGCTCAAATAAGCATGTTTCTACATGTAAACGAAAGATACATGTTTCATGCATCTATCTGGGGAAACTCTTGGAAACCAGGAGAACTGTAAATAAATCACTTGCCATTTGTAGATATCTTTGAAAGATGTGGACTTATGATACAATGTGTTATTTTTAAATAATTAAAAGAAAATGATGGGACATCAGTGGAGAGTCGAAGCAGGTCATGAAAAGAGAAAACAGGGTATGTACTTACGGCGGACCTCCAGTTTACACTCCACTATGTCCTCTCCGCTGTCGTTCACAGCTTTGCACATGTAAACTCCTCCATCGAACAGACACGGCTTACGGATCTCCAGCGTCAGGACACCCTGCTTACTGAGCATCCGGTACTTGGCTTCATTCGAGATGTCCATCTTGTTCTTGTACCAGGTCACTTTAGGCTAACAGAGTATCACATGTGTATTTTAACTTATCTATTGCATGTATTTGAAAACGAAAAAGATATCTTACTTATTAAACTCAGTTCACATTGTTGTTCACAAACATCTGTTGCACACCTTAATGTTATGACCTCACTGACCTTTGGGATGCCTCTGACTGAGCAGCTGAGCGTGGCGTTGTATCCTGCGATGACGGACCGGCTCACCAGAGGATGTGTGAACTTGGGAGCCTCTGAGAAGTCGTGATCTTTGTGAGAGGGCGGCTTGTAAGCGATACCTGAGGAGAAACAGAGACACACAATATTCATTTAATTTGTCAGTTCTGCTATTCTGCATTAATGGCAACTACTCAGACTTGAGAAAACAAAACTGGACACAAAACCAGAAAGACAGCTTTGATCAATTATCAAGGTGCAGTCAGAGCCCACCTGTTTTCTGGATGTAGGCGCTGTCCTTAGTGTCGCAGGGGTCCAGGCTGAGACCCACCAGGTTGATGGCGAAGGCTCTGAAGACGTACTCATTCCCCATGATGAGGTCAGACGCCACACAGTGTGTTCGCCTGTACTGATCGTAGACTGTGTACCACTCCTTCAGATGACGGATACAACACAAAAACATGTCAGATTCACTTTTACAATAAAAAAAATGGCTGATGTTTACAGGTCGGTGAAAAATGACGAGGAAATATGACAAATAACTTCCTACAATAATAATGTAGAAATATCACTTTTTGGATTTTACAACCGCCAGCTTATGTGCAGGTAAAGAATAATCAAATAGGATCTGTATAGACTCAAGCATTATGTTCCCCTGTCACTTTTATATCTATCATCTGCTGTCTGACATCTCACAGGTACACAGAACATTGTTATTGGGAACATGATGATCAACGTCCCTGCACTCTCTATATAAAGATGCAAGTTAAATTAATTTGATCTAATAATGACCACAGTGAAACGTGAACCATCCGCAGAACAATGGCCCTGCGTCACAGCACAGACAATCTGCACCAGGTCATGGATGCAAGGATAAGATTAGGACATTCTTGCTCGAATTTGGAAGCTCGCGGGTTGGAGGATGGTGCCAGTTGGAGCTTTTGCCAACCAGCCCATAATGCATCACTTTTGCTGCTGAGGAAGCTGATTGTAGTATATTAGTCACAAGGGAGCGAGGCTAAAATGTTCCTCTGTGTCCATGCAGCATTTATCCTCAAACATTTTCAGACACCTGTTCATCATGACAGAAGAGGAAGGTTCAAAAATGTGGGCTCAGATCAGCTCCGGTCAAAATGTAAGTCATGCAATGAATCTGTGTCAGTGAACAAGACACTATCAGCTTTAATTATGACATGGAGACGACTGCCTTCCTCTGAGGAGATGACATATTTTTCACAAGTCATGTTGGTAAGTGTCTCTTTGTATTGGGATCTTGACCTGACTGATCTGCAGATCTTGGGTCTGTGACTAATTATGTGTTAACCCAGATGGCAGTGGACTACCCATGGCTGTATTAAGGCGACACAGACAGTGACAAACTCGGGGTCAAATGTCTATGCAGTGTTGCAACATGCAAACACTCACACTCAGTCTGACAGTCTCTTGGTCTCATTCACATTTATTGTTGTTAGGCTCTAATTCAGTAGTTTCTCACCATGGTCTTCTTGTCAGCTTTCTGAATGCAGTATCCAGATATTTCACAGTTTCCATTGTCCTTAGGCGGCTTCCACTCGAGTGCCACATTAAAACCCCAGACATCCACGATCTTAAGGCCCTCAGGCGGCCCGGGGAGATCTACAGAGCAGAAATATGATTAGCTCTGTGCAGGCAGTACTCTAAGGTAAGAGTGAATAGGATGATTGCTGTTTACTGTGATTATATTCGTTCTTCTTAATACCCACAGAAGCTCTGCTCGTGTTTGGTCCTGCTTACCAACAATCTGCAGCATGATACTCGCTGTGTCTTCCACATTCTCAATCTCCACCTGGAGGTTGTACTTCCCCGAGTGTTTCCTTTCTGTCTTACGGATGAAGAGGATCGTATCCACCTCGCTGTTTCTCACACTGGCAAATGATGAGCTGAGAGGCTCCCCGTCTTTGCTCCATGTGACCTTTGGCCGGGGTTTACCCTGCAGACCGGAAATGACAAAGGAAGGTATTTCAGTTTAAAATGCCTTTTGACAGTTTTAAAGGATTAGTTTTTTATAGTTGAAGAGCATTCACAGACAATCCATAACCCATTAAAACTTATTTTTAAGGGAACATGCCCTGACTTTCTATAGCATTCTGTTCAGTCTTTCAATACAATACTTGGGTCCAGAAAAATCTCCAAGACCTAACGGTCTTCCCATTGCTCATAGGACTGTTAATGTCCAGATAAAAAAATTGTTAATAGCATTACAATATTTGTTTATTTTATCAAGTTGTCAATAATCAATAACTATGCATGTCTGCGTCCATTTTCACTGTGATGTAGAGAGTGAATTCAGTTGACGATTGTGACACCTTTGTGTGTGAGCTGTTTCAGTTGGAGACCTCTGGCTGGTGTAACGCCTGTGTGGTGTGAATCAAACTGTGCTCATGCTGTGGTTTGGACAGTAGCTGCATGTCAAAGATATCTGTCTCTCAGCTGCTATCAACATGCCAACTTGACACAATAAATATTCCTATGTAAGCAAGGTCGGAGTGTTGCCTTTTCTCTGACACCGTTTTGTTGCATTTTAGATAATTAAAAAATGTCAATGTGTGATAAGGGTATACAAAATAATTGCAAACAGAGCCCTTCTCATGTTAACTACCTCACAAAATTCCTAGGTTTTTAAATAAGTAGCAAGTAAAAAGAAGCTTGTTTTTTGTGGATAGTTCATATCCAACTCTCGAGTTTATTCTGTATAAAGACATAACAGGAGAATTCTGATTAATTAAATATCATTTGGAGTAGGTTGTAGATGTCTGAATGAGTCAGCTTTGTGTTTTCTGCACCTGGAAAGGTATCACGATGTTCACAGTGTCTCCAACTTTCTTGATGAGAGTCTGCCGGAGGTTTCTGGGAAGCCAAATTTTAGGACGTTCTGTAAAAGACAAGACACACAAAAAAGAAGCATGATAGGGACCGACAAATATGAGCAGCTCAAAATCTAAGGGGGACTTATTCAATGTATTTGGTTGAATGAGATTCATGGTTGTCATGTCTCATTAAGGACAAGATGGAGAGCAGTAGTAAAGGGACATCAACAATAAAATTAATAAAAACGGACGCATTATCTCTCTGATGGTGACAGGTTGAGCCAAGGTTGTGGGAGCACTGGGTCCCGCCATGTTGTAGGCTCGCACACGGAACTGCAGCTTGTCTCCAGTAGTGAGGCCTCTGACGACCATCACTGTCCTATCAGTCAGACCCTGAATGGCTGGAATCCACTCATCGGCTGTGACCAGGAAACAACACTGTGGTTAATCATGATTGATGGTTAAAAACTTTTAACGATATAGGCTATTAAAAAAAAATCCTCCTTATCAAAGCATGCAGGTCAGTGGCATCAGCACTTACTGCCCTCCTTGCAGTACTCGACCCCATAACCCTCGAGTTCAGATGAGCCGATCCTCTCAGGCGGACGCCACTTCAGAGAGATGGAGGTGTCGCTGATGTCCTCCACGCACAGTCCGATGGGCTCACTTGTAGGAGCTGAGGGTGAGACAGAGAGCACATAAATGAGCTTGTTAGTCAGTTAGAGCATTAATGAAAATTACATTTACAATGAAGGACTGAACAAGTGGATAACCCTGATTTAAAAATAACAAAAGATGTAGAGTAACAAAAACCCTTGTAAACCTTTGTAGCTTTGTATATTTTTTAAAATGTGCTTTCTACTAGTTCACTAAAGCAGCTCATCTTAGCTTGATGTTACATACAGTATATTCAGGAACCACCGTTAAATAAAGGCTGAGAACACATTTGACTTGGGCTCTTCACGAAGAGATAACAAAAATGAAAATAAGTTTTGGATTTGAGAAATGCTTATATAAGCAAACACAGCTTTTTACATCATTAAACAAAAGTATCACCTGTAGTTTCCTTCTTCTTACTAATGAGGACCAGATGACTGTCTCAGAAAGGAAACATTGAAGACAGTATTCATCTCTTGTAAAGAACCACAGAGCACAAGGAGCAGCATGAAAACAGACTTTTAACTTTCACTTGCCTCAGAGGGACAGAAATGCTGTCAAGTTAGCAAGTTTGTAGCAGCTTTGAATTTACCATGAACTGGATGACTGAGAACCTACAGAGAGAGTAAGTTAAAAAGGGTTCTAATGCAGAAAGTGATTTGATTTGTCTGGTTTTTGAGACAATAGGATAGGATAGTTATTTGACAAACCTAGCATTTGTTCTTGCTGCTTTTAGGGCCTGGCATAGACGGATTCTGTCTACACAAAGTTATGCAGTAGTGGCCTACAGGAAATGACTTTCAGTTTGGGAATTGAAATTAACACAGTAACAGTAATGTTAAACATACATGTTTAACATTAAGAAAGATGTAAGATGAACACTTTAATTACTTAAGGTGATATAAATGAGAATATAATGAGAACAAAAGACGTCTTAATCCTGGTCCTTATTCAATAACTTTATTTCTAGAACAAATGTTTCTGTTTGTGTTTTCAGTAATCAAAACAGTCTATCAGTCTATAAGCCTGCTGATGTCATCCTGGGGAACATGAGCTGTCTGAGTGACCTGCTGCTGGGAGGAAGTCAGTGTGTCTGCTTTGCTGTTTGTCTCTCAGGACTAAAATGACGTGATTTAATCTCACATTAATAGATTTTGATTCATCAGCTGCTTCCCACAAATGTCAACACACAAAGTCCAAAAGCAAACTGTTAATCTCAAAACACATTTGAGCTTCCTGGAACTAAAAAGTTGTGTTTTTATCATAAAGGAAAGTGATGGAGCAGTTTTATAATAAATGTATTCAGCTTTGGGATTCGGGAGCTCTACTTCTCTTATCTAGAAGCCGACTGTTTTTTGAAACAGGATGGTAAGAGGGATGACTAAACTCCCATGTGGGGATGACTGCACCATCAGTTTAGTTTCATTAAACTTTAAACTACAAGACATTATTTTGGATGACACATTTGAAAATGTCACAAATGATTCACCTGGCAAACTCAGTAAATACGAGTCAGTTAGATGATGAAATAATGAAATGACTAAGCTCTTATTTTAAGTGTTAACTGCAAAGATCTTGGATCAATTTCAGTTTTAATAGTTGAGCAGTTTGGTTTTAAACAAGCACAGCATGAAATATCTTCACACAAAAAGTACTTTTTGATCATAACGGGCAGCTAGCTCTGCGATAAATTCACAAACCCCTACTTAAAGCTATATCTCTCTCTCGGGTTAACCTATGTTTACCATAAACAGCATTACATCACTGGTTGCGCATGCTGAAGTGTACCAGTGAAGAGTTATTTCGAATGACATCAGAGATCATCTCTTGACTGCTCTGAGAAAATATTTGGTCAACCATAAATTGTTCATGTTTCAACAACCTGCTGACATTACGAGGACAAACTGAGAGGTGTTGTATTTTAATTGTGGCCCCATCGTCACTGAGGTCAAGGGGCTCCACGTCACACGACACGGCTAAGTATACACCGCAGGAGAAATGACAGAAACATAGGTCAGGGGTCAATGGTTTCCTCTTGTTGTAGAAGTCACAGCAGCAGAGATTGTTTCAAAAGACACTCAGAGTAAATCCTACTCCGTTGTGTTTTAAAAAAGCAAATAGCTTTTCAACTCACATCAACAACAATCAGGGGTGGAAATAAGAAGGCAATTTAACCTTATTTCTGAGTTTAAAACCTACATCATAATAAAAATCTCTCAAAGAAGAATGCCTACTAGCAGGAGGTTCAGGCTCAGGCTCTGGTTCTGGTTCAGCAGCAGGAACAGGCTCAACAGGGGTCTCCTCTGCAGGGGGAACATTTTCTGTTGGGGGGACACCTTCTTCTACAGGTGGTGTCTTAGTCTCAGCTGGGGCTCCATCATCCCCACCTGGGGCGGCCTCTGCAGGGACTTCTGGAGCTGGTTCACTGCCAGCTTCTGACTCAGGAGGAGATAGAGGCGCCTCTGCGTCAGTCTTGTTAGTTTCCACCTCCACTTTAGCGTCAGCTGGCGTCTCCTCTGCTGGTTTCTTCTCTGCAGTCTTGGGAAGTTTAGGCTTCGTCATTCTCCCTCGGTGTTTCTCTCTCCTGGTGCTGAGTGAAGCTGGTCTTTGTGTCCCTCTCTTCTTCCGAACTCTGCTCTAACCTCTCATTCTGTCTTTGAACACACTTACAGGCTCTTGTTCTCTTCTTCGCTGAAGTGTCAACAATGCTTCCTCTGCAGCAGCCTCAACAGTAGCATGAACCCCCCTGTGTTCAGCAGCTGGTCCCAGCAGAGCCAAGGGCTCCTGGGCCATTATTTATAGAGAGGGATGCCACAGATTGTTTCCTAATCAGATGCCTTACAAGCTTTTGGCCATCTGGATACAATGATGCTCCCTCTTAAATCAACAAGTGGAGAATGAGAGGGGAGTTAAAATATCAGTGGCCAACTAAGAAACAATACGAACCTGAGCCTCTGGCTTATTTTACGCTGTCAGGGTGGTGAAGTAGCAGATCTCGGATTTGTAAAAGGGGAGGGACAAAATGGAAATATTAATTTATTAAAAAATAAAAACTGAAACTTTGGTACTCCAACAGTACACAGAGACGAGTTACATTCACAAGAACAAGACTGGAATAATTTTTTCTTGAATATTATAATGTTGATCTTTACCTTCGTTTTATCCTGTTAAACATATGTTTAAAAAAGTGTTTAGAAGCCTCACAGCCAATTCTGATTAGTTCATTCTTGAGTTCAAGTGGATGTTTTGGCCTGTTTGAAGATGTTTCTTTCAACTTGAATTTCTGTCAGAAGTGCAGTGTGACGGACATGAGGTCACAGGGACCTTGAACTTTGACCATAGAAAGATATTGATGAAAAAAATCTGTAAAATTGTGGTGTACTATCATAACACACCTGTACACCTCTGGTTTTGCTTTTTTGCTTTTGATACTTTTGAGAGCCTTTTGAGAGTTAGAAAATATTATTGAATTAAATCAGACTACACTTTTACAAGTACAACAAAATAGTGCTCAAGGAAAAACCTGCATTGCCAGAGCTTTAGCTGTATCACCTCAGATGGAACACACCAAGGCACAAGAAGGAGGGGCCGGCCCAAAGAGAGGCCGACCCAAGAACAGCTGGCGCAGACATCTCGAGACTGACATCAAAAAGAGCAAACTAACACGGAAAAACAACTGCAAAAGAATGCTCAGGACAGAAAACTCTGGCTAACCGTGGTCAACGGCCTCTGCTCGGCATAAGAAGACTCATCATTAACTTGAATACACTCCCATGCCTGACAATACTAAGAAATTACCCGTAGAACTGTATTTTTATTCCATTTACAATACACAGACTTCTCGGATTCCAACAAATAAACAGCCAAACATGACCCCAGACCTGTCAGGAACACGAGTCAACCAGGCGGCATGACCTCAGCGAAACCTTCCAGACCAGGCATGACACGACCCCAGAGTAATAATAAACAATAAACATCAGCCATCACTCATCCAGATAACCCATCTATCAACATCATAAAACTGGAGTGTACCAAGCTTTTAATCTAATGATAAATTCATGATCTCCTGAATAGAAACAGCTGCTTTCATGAAACATGCAGCAGAGTAAATGTCTTAAAGTGATTCTGAATTGCAATGAGTGGGATGGGGAGCTGCTTTCAGACTCACCAACTGGCACGAAAGGCTGCGAGGCCGGACTGTTACGAGACATGCCGATACCGTTTACAGCATAGACTCGCATCTCGTATGGCACTCCTTCAATCATCCTCTTAGCCTCAAAGGTCGTTTCAGGATAAGGGTCAAAGTTAAGTCTCATCCACCTGTAGCTCTTTGTCTTCTTTCGCTCCAGCACATAACCTGAGAGGTAAAATCAAATAAAAAGGTGTTTAGTTTATCAGGATGATACAGGTGGATAAACTAAAAGGTTTCTAAATATTTTAAACTAGATAGGAATTTTAATTTGTTGTTTGGGTCTTCTTACCGATAATTGGCTTGCCTCCGTCAAACAGAGGGGGATCCCACTGAACTACACAGGAGTCCTCTCCCACACTGAGGATTTTCACAGCCTGTGGAGGATCAGGAACATCTGCAGGGAAAAAAATCAATTCGTTTTAAGAATTAGTACCTACATGATGGGATGTTTTACATTTTTAGTTGCAGCTTTGGTATTCTCTGTTTTATTTTTGTCTTACCAACAACTTTCACATTGATATCTGCTGTGTCCTCTCCAGCCGGGTTTCGAACCACGACGGAATAGATCCCCTCATCCTGCCTCTCGGCCCCCTCAATGGTGAAGATGCAGTGTCCTTTAGTGGTTTCAACATGGACCCTGCCATCTCCGTCTGTGACCACCTGTTCAACGAAAAAACTAGAATTAAGTAACTGGATTACTCCTGAGTCAAGTATCCTCTGCTAAGTCTGCTGTCTTCTAAACTGACTGACATGTTGTCAGTGGAGACGCTGATACAGTTCATGTAAAAGAGTCATATTTAAGTCATGAACATGATGAGCAGCCGTGTTTGTCTGTGATTTTTCAAATGTTATATGGTAATCATCAATCTTTTTTGTCATTATTAGGAGAAATAAAATCAATAGTTTTGTCTCATTATTTCATAAAGTGTGTAAGAGAGTGAGTGTCATGCCAGCATGCAGATAGTGTCTTTAAAAACTTTAACAAATGAATCAAGGTGAAAATACGAGATCAAGGAATACCAGATACTGATCAACGCATCATACTGAGGATTGATGGGGATCATGAAGGATGGAATCTGGTGTGATCAGTAAAACAGAAATCTATTTTTAAGACTTTCAACAAGAGAACATGTTTTTCTTTATTTCAAGTCAAAAAAATGGTTAATCCATGATCCAGAACAACGGCATTTCACAAAAATTGCATCCATAGCAATTTTTCGGCTTACTGAGAGTGGAAACGGGGGAAGAACACTATGCAGATTCTGCTGTTCAAGCCAACAATATTTGAACACTCAACTTCAGATGTCCTCGTGCAAAAAGTAGGACTAGTGCTGGAGTCCAAAATTAAGTTCCAGGAGTTGCTTCCTAATGCAGAGGTGTTGATGTACATTTCCTCAGACTCCTTTATGATTATGCATGTGAACATTTTTGTTTAAATTGTATGAACAGATATATATGACTAGAACAACCTCATGTGAAACATTCAGTAAGAAAAAATATTTCAATATTTACCATGGTTTGACCCAATAAAGTGAACTCTAGGTGTGCTTTCCAGGGAAGACACTTACCTGTACCCATACCAAACATGCCTGTTGATTTTCCCTTTCATTTTTATGTAGCTGTAAAAAGATCTATTTCAGCATCTACCCCAAAGATAATTTCACCCATTATACCATTAGAAACTATCCAAAGATATACTTACCTACCAGTTTTGTCTGAGCTGCTTCTGTGTGCAGGAGGATTCAAACATGCTCTTACCTTATTGACACGGCCCAATGCTGACAACAACTCATGCAGTTTCTGACTTGCTCCTAGAGGTTTGTTCTTACTAACAGCAAACCAAACATACAGGGATAACCACTGGTGAAGCTGCTTTGCATGTATTGGTTTGCATGTGTTTGTAATTGTTACTGCTGCAGCCTGTTCTTTCTGAAGGGCTGTAAAGCAGGAAATCAACACAAAAACACAACCTGTTCAGCATTGAGTTGCAAAATCGTTTTTTGTTTGTTTTTTAATGGCTGCGTGCATTGTCTTCTGACCATTCATGTGGTAATAAAATTGATTTTATATGAAAGGGGTAAATGTGTGAAGATGACAGCTTCTCCACTGGCTACATGTACTCCTCAGATGATTTGGTTGCTTTCTTTGGTGTCAAGTACAAAGAGGTGATGGATAGTTCAACTGAGAGAAGTTAAAAAAAGCATGATGCCACTGCTACACAGCATTTTCAAGAGGCATGCACACTTACGTCCCCACCGTTCAGGGTCCAAGAGGAAGTCGACCCTCCTCTCTCTCTTCGTCAGGTATTACAGAACTAGCCTACATTTGAGCAGAGCAAAGCGGTAAAAGCCGAAGAGAAGAGAGAGGCCAAAATTTGACTCTCTGTCTTCTCAACTTAAATATCAGCACACCAGTAAGATGCATTAAATCAAGCAATATTGTACCTATTGTACCTATAAAACATCTTAGCATCCAAGCCAGACATGTGCTCCTGAAAGATGCTTTTTATACTTAAATGTTAATTGAGAAGAGTATAATCTCATCAGCTTGTATCGTATTAAAACTGCACACATTTTCCAGAATTTTACCGCATTAGTAAAGCTTTTAAACCTTTTTTAAATAGCAAATCAGCCTTACATCTCAGACCTTACCGACTGCACTCTGGATGGTTGTCATATATCAGAAGATGGACGTGAAGCCTGATTGACAACAGAAGGGTATTGATCTGTTTTACCTTCTCTGCTTTGGTCCAGACCACTGTGGGAGCCGGGTCTCCAGTGATCGGGACGTCCAGGCGTAGTTTGTTGCCAGCTACCACCACGATGGTTGACTCAGCAGTGCGACCCATACAGTCCAGGTGGATTTTAGGTGGATCTTAGACAGTGACAGAAATCATTAAACTGAGCATGGATTCACTTGTTCAGTCTGAATGCTACAGGAGAGGATGGCTGTTGGTACCTTGGCGGGGGACGTAATCAATCTTCACCTCTAGGAAAAAAATACAGGTTGCTTTAGTGGTTGAGGCATAATAGATTTGTTATTTTAAAGTGTAAAGAGTAAAAATGTTAAATGATACCCAAGAAATTGAGTTTGGCAGATAGGTTGAAGGCGTGGCCATCAGGCACAAAAGTGTAGTCTCCCTCATCCTCTGGTTTGACCTCATCGATGGTCAGTTTGTGGTTTCTGCAGAGGAGGACATTTTTTTAAAAGTTGACCTAATGCTGTAATTGGATACATGCACATGTTACACATGCACGAAAGTTGCTCTCACCTTCCAATATGTGTGATATTTATTCTGGCGTCTGGTTTTACTTCCACACCATTCTTGTACCACGTCCCCCTCACGTTCTCATCTGACACCTCACACTTAAAGACCGCCTGATCCTTTGCCTTTACGGAGAGGTCTGCGATGCTCTGGTACACCTCCAGTTCTTTCTCTGCACGGTGGGAAAAAAAACAAAGTCTCAGAGAGCAGATCAGGAAAACCACAGAGGCCTCCAGACTTCAATTGAAGGGGTGGGAATAAGATGATGATGATGATAATACAAGGATAATATGGTACTAATACGTTCGGGCATGAAATGATTATTATATTTGGGAGGCCTTTGTGTGTTGTATCTTAGCAACAGGTACAAAGGGAATAACTAATTGGTTTTATAGTAGAAAATAAAGTGGGAGGATGTGAAGAGCAGATGCAGGAGTTTCAGGCTAAAACTGTAAATGACAATAAAATAATGTGCAGGGGAGTTGTTAAATGATCTCAAAATATACTGTAATCCAGGCACCATAACTCACACCACGCTCCCTGTAAAGGTTACAGGAGATTTCGATCTCAGCTCATTGGGTGGGCGAGTAAGGTGGGAATGGTATTATAATGGGGGTTCTGCTGCGGAGTGAGGTGTTGATCTCTGCTGCACGCGACAGCTGGTTTTCTTGGCAGGGTGTGTGTTCGATTAACAGCCAGATAAACTACACTGGACTGGGAGCAGAAGCCAAGACGAGGTTTAAATTTACACAACCGACCCTGAGACACACATACATATGACACACGTGACTATATGTAAAAGTGAACGTATATAATCATATATTATATATATATATATATATATGTATATGATTATATATCACAAATAGTTACAAGTCTACAAAATTATTGCTTACACAACAGAACACAGAAAATGTCAAATTAGAAGCACACATTGATGAGGTTTGTTTTTGTTCATAATGAATCCTATTGCTCTGTGAGCTGATGTTGCTATGATGAAATGGTTACTGGATGGTATAAAAAGGGGAATGAAAGAAGGGGTACATAGCTAGTTGGGTTTTTTATTGATCTATTTATTTTTGCCTACGTCCATGTGCCAAAGAGTTTGAATCGTCCCCATCCGTCATTTCTAGAACACCTGTGAATTGAAATTACAAGAGTTCTTAACGTTCACCTGCAAAACATGCCACATGAAAACACTGAGGGGCACATGTCACATCTTTTGAAGCTCTATCATCTAGACATTAAATCTATTTTTTAACCATGACATAATCTGTAATGGAAATATTTATTTAAAAAAAATCTAAAAGGAAGTTATGTTAACTGTTAAAAGAGTTTCAGGCATATATAGTTTAAATTCCAATATAGAGTAGGGTACTTTGTGTAACACAACACTCTCCTTCAAGCCGTCTACTTTCACTGTTTGATTCAGTAACCATGGCCTGTACTTACATGTTCCACTGGTGCTTAAATGTATGTGTTACTGGGACAGGAAATGGACATTTTGAAGAAAGACAAAATAACCATATGTTATTATTAATATAAAAAGGGTAGTCAAGTGATACAGTACTAGAAACAAAAACTGAACTTTGGAAAAAAATGGTAGTGAAACTTCTACAAAAAATATACACGCTTTGTTTTCAAAAATATCTTCAGCCGCTGTGCATTCAGTTTACTGTACAAAAACACCATGGTGATATTTTCATATGACGTGAACCCATTTCGCTTGTCTCATGCTAACAAAACAAATTTTGACAACAAGCGAATGATCTTTAGATTTACTAATGTACAATTAAATGTGATTTTGTCTGATGCTCTTGGCACCTTGCATAACATACTCTACAGGTTTGCAGATTATATTATATGTAGACATTTTATTCTTCAGTGTTGTTTCCCTGTAGTCTTAAGTTTTATATGAAATATAAACTGATTCTTAAAATAAAATCGCTGTGAATCACAGTCTGTTCTCGTTGTTGTTGTCAACTAAATTCCCCGCTTTGTTTTCCTTTTGATTGCAGGTGATGCTATAGCAACTATCAAATAAAAAGTGTGACAAATAAGATTTCACCCGTTGTTGTTTTGTTGTTCAACAAAACAACAACAGGGAAAACAATGACAAGTGAAACGAAACACCAAAGACAGAAACTGGGACACTTGAGCAAACTCGTGCCCTTCAGGTGAAATATGGTCCATGTCTTCTAACTTTAGCTGGCATGTGGACTTGTGTCGCTGCGGCAACCTTGGCAGAATGATGTGGGCAAGAGATCCCAAAGATAGACAGCATGCCAAGAGAGACAAGGCCACATGACTACTGGTTCGGCATGAGAATGTGTGCTTGGAGTGTATATCAATGATAAAAATGTTTCATACTGTACCCAGCACTCACCCTGCACCAGGAGCTCAGCCACTGACTCGCCGCCATTCGTTTTAACCTTGTAGTGACCACAGTCCTCCTTTGTGGCCTCGTTGATGATCAGGACGTGTTTGCAGCCATCTTTTTTGAAGCGATACTTGAACGACTCATCTCTTGTTAATTCAACACCATCCTTCTCCCTGCATGGAAATTAAATCATAAATATTATAATAAAAAAGTTAACAGCTAATATAATACAAGCAGAGTTTCAAACTCCTGCTTTTAAAGTAATTGATTTATTTTCATGTTAATATATAAGCTAGCTCTCTTTGCTCAGTACAGATTTGATTAAAAGCTTTGTAACCAGTGAACAGACCCTGAGCTCGGCCTATACTATAAAATATGTAACAAACAAACATCCTGACATGGACCAGAAATATGATTGAATTCTCCTAAAGAAGTGGTGCACTTGATAGGCTTATGAATGTTAGTGTATTGGAGTTATTACTCATATTGTGCAATCAGCTGTGTAGACTTGAGCTCATGACGCCGCTCAACTTCTGCAATGTTAAATTTATCTCAGCTTCATTATTAATCATTTGACTTTCAGTCCAACATATAGATCTTTTTTGCCCTCGGTTCCAAGAAAATTGTTCTGCGCATGAGCGTTTGCAGCAACTTTCCCCTTCAGATAAAAGGTCACACGGGACTTGATGAAATGCTGATGTGACCTTTTCCTTGAGGTGATAATTTACAGCTTCTGTCCGTCACAGAGATAGCGCCTGGTGTGTGGACATGACAAACTCAAATGCCATCTGCTGGGTGTGTGAGTAATGAACACTGTGTAAGAGTGACGTCAAATAATCTTGAAATATATAGAAGACTTAAAGTCCCACTTCCAGTTTTATACTTTTTTACACCTGTCACTCATTACCTGACAATAATGGGGGGGGAAATCTTTAACATTTAACTTAATTTTATGCTACAAGTAAATCATAGTTTAACCTGTGCTATAGCTATTTATGAAGCAGCCAAGTCATACATCTCACTGCCAAACTTGGTCAAGCCTAATGTTATGACCTGACGTCATTTTGAGGTCAAACGTAATGTACATACTGTAAAGCTTTTTTTTGGGGGGGGGGGGGGGGCTGGGCCTCAAAGATAGCTGTATATAGACTTGATAACATAAAACATCTGGTAAAAAAAGATCCTCTTTTATGGTTAAAGTTTTACTGGTTTTCTCCTTGACAACAATCAGTGAGTTATGACTTTCCTGACAGACAGACTGTTTACTCGTTCAGTTATTTACAGTGGGTCAGACCAGGACTCTGACTTCTAATGGAGAAGGTTACATCACACGGGGGGTTGCAGGGAGCCAAAAAAGACCAGAGATTCACCTGACTGCTGTTAAAATTCTCCAACATAATTTATGTTGGAGTGGCTGATTGCTTGAATGGATGTTTGATCGCCAAGGTGCATTGATTACATTGGATCATCAACCAAATCCTGATTTCTTTTTGTTTCAAATAGACTTTAACAAAAAAAAAGGTGTTAGAAATCTCAGACTTGAGGGGACTTGAATTATTCATTTCTTGATTTGATTAATCAAAATTCACTTTTCAACATCTGTCTGTCAATCCAGCCATAGTTTATTGAAGCTATTACTGAGCTTCTTTTCATGTTTTCACACTTAACAACACTCGACTTTTGTTGTGATTTATTAGTTAGTTTGGCACAGTGCCCAATAAACTATTTTACTTTTAGGATATTATTAGACTGAAATAAATGATATCAATCCAAAAAGATCATTGTTTTATGAAGAAGAACATCTAACCATTTCACATTGGCCCCTTCCTCTGACACTTCACACTCCAGCTCCACCCGCTCCCCTTTCATCACCATCTGATCCTCCAGATTCTTCACAATCAGGACGGGAGGCTCTACACAAAATAAACAACAATGAAGGGTTGAACTGCATCTCATAGTCCGGACTATTCATGTTCTATGCTATGTTGTAAATGTCCTCTAAACCTTACATACCTTTGACAAAGAGCTCAGTGGTGCATTTCTCCTCTCCTACCACACAGCAGTAAGCTGCATCATCAGCCAAGGAGCAGTGGTTGATGGTCAGGTAACGCATGTTTCCAACACTTTCAAAGATGTACCTTTAAAAAAGACCAAGGCAAGCTTCACACATACTAAGACTTTAAATGACAAAAGGCTTGTATTTTAAATTTAAGAATCAAATTGCAATAACTAATTTGATTTAGTAAAAGACGAGAAGAATCAACAATCCATTATTGCTGCTGAACACTTACTTGCTAACAATGCCATAAAATGACGAGGTAGTTTGTCCATATATTGATGAAATAAGGGAGGCACAAGAGAGACGGACAGAAATAAAGAAAAACATCAATACTTAAACAATAACTGGTGCTGTATTTGTTGAATTCTTCATGATGTAATGTAAAGTGTGTTTATTCTGACCTTCCCGTTGGTTGAATTTCTTGTCCGTTCTTCAGCCATTTCACCTCTATGTCTGGATTTGCTACTTCAATGGCCATTTTAATCTTTTGTCCCTTTGACACTTGGTAAGCAGGATCCAACTTTTTGAGGAAAGCTAATTTACAAAGAAGATAAGAATAATCAATCATATCAGTTCAAAATGTTACCAGTATTAGATCAAGTGCAGTCTGTTGTGAAAGCTGCTCCAACCTTCACTTTTCTTCTCTTCTTTCTTCATCTTCTTCAGTCTCTTCAACATGCCTCTCAGGTCAGTAATGCCATGCTGAAAAGCAATCTTCTCAAATTCTGATGAAGGAGCTCGGCTGAGAATGTCCCACACGTCCACGTCCGGTTCTGAGCTCACCTGTACGGCTCTACAAGATGTTCAAACCATATGGTCTATTGTTAAGACCAGTCACAAGAGTGTGCACTTTACATTATGCACATGGTTTGAAGGAAGTAGGTTATAGAAGAAGCTGACATGTCGTTTTTTCATTTATGGCATCTAAACAAAGGTAGGTTTATTATGAACACTATTGATTTTCTAATCCATCCATACTAAAGCTGTTTACAAGTGTAATAAGTACCCTCATTCTGTGTGGCCTAAAAGGTGATAGTATTGCTTCAATTTAATCAGTATGGCTGTCTCCCTCCTCTGTCACGCTCTCATTAGTCTGTGTCTTACCACACCTGTCCACTAGGTGCTCTCAGTAACTCTTTTACCCCAGCCCATCACCTAACAGCCATGAGTCTGCAGTTATCTCCAATCAATCATGAGTTTACAAGTACAATGTCATTAGGGTTGTTAATGTGTGCGCACATGCGTATGTGTGTGTGTGTGTGTGTGTGTGTGTGTGTGTGTGTGTGTGTGTGTGTGTGTGTGTGTGTGTGTGTGTGTGTGTGTGCATCTGCTATCTGTTGTTCATTTGTAGCTTGTTTATGAGTTGCTGGCTTTGAGTCTGAGAACACCCACAGTATTGAATTCAAGTGAAAACAGAAACGCCTCAGTGTCAAAACACCCAAATAAATTAGAATATAAATCTGTACCAAAGTGAGATATAATATCTGATATTTTTATTTAAAGTGTAGATACTCATTATATAATAGTCCATCGTAGTTAGCTACATTTCATTTCTCGACATGACTTAAGTATAATGAAGAATTTGTTTCAGCAAAAAGGACCTTTTTAAACTTAGAATCAAAATAACAGATTTCACTCTTCATTCAAACTCATTGTGCAGCATGTATTATAGAGATAAGGAAATCAGTGCAGTATCCTATCATAAGTTTAATGAGGAGACATATACATATATATATATATATATATATATATATATATATATATATATATACAGTATATACATGCAAAGAAATGTTCACTGCAATACTAGGAGAGCATGTCATCAGTTTCTTACCGATTTGAGGATTTTAAGAAACTGCTGCTCAATCAGAGGAAGAACCCACCAGGCACAACAAACCAGACAAGTTACAACACCACATTTTAACAGCAAAGCAAACAGCATATTAGAAATAAGCATTTCAATATCCATCAACTTCAAGTGGTTAAACAGCAGAGAGGCAAGTCTTCTAGTTTAGGCCTTTATTAACAGGTCAATGAAAACCATGCTGACATCATTCATTGTGTTACATCTCATGCACATGCACAGAAGTGATTTTGAAGTGCTGAGGAGTTGACTTGTGTTTTTAAGTAAGAATTAGAAAGGGTCAGAGGAATAGGGCTCATAGGGTGAAGTAATGATTAAGAATCTCAAAAACCTTACTCAAAATGTAAGGGGAAACTATCAATGACATTAGAAGGGGAAATGTGCCTCATAGGTATAAAACAAGTGTAGTTGTTGTTGTGTTGTCAGTGAGAAGGGCCTTTAAGAGGGCCAAAAAGGTATTTTCCATCAGTATGGATGAAATACTGATTGGGTCTACAGGCCCAGGGCCCTGAGGGATCAGTGGTTCCAAGTGCAGAAGCCTTTAAGGTGGCTGTAAACATTTGTTGTTTAAAGTCTCTGAACAACCAGAAAAACACACCAAAGAAACTACAAAGATGTGCAAAACTAAGATGGCAACAAAGGGAATAACTTCAAAGAGATTTCAAAAGAACTGCTAAGAGATAACCAAAGAACCATAACAGACATAAAACCTTGATATTTTTGTGACCAGAGACCTGTTGTAGTCTGCTCAGGTGGAACAGATGAATCATCTAAATGGGATGACTTGATTGTTAAGTGCAATTAGATAAGGGGACTAGATTTTTAGAACCCTATGTCAAAAATCAATTGATTTATTTTTAATTGAAACTTTAGAGTGAAAGCACCCCTGCCCTGGCTTATCATTGTGTATTGTAAGTGAATTAGTCTGCAGCAAGCCTTTAGGTGAAAAGCTGATTATTCCAACATTTCATTTTCAGAAGGTAACTTACTCTCTTAAGACGCAGGACAGTTCAGAAAATAAGAGTGAGACAGAGTTCACATAATTAAAGGTTGGTACTATTTCATGAAAGCTCATAAATCATTGAATATATATATATAATATCTTGATTGCTCACCTCTTTTTTAATAAAGTACTGAAATCCAGCTCTCCGGAGTCTTCTTTTCCATCTGTACTACTGCAGAAATATCATCAATCAGCAGCAAAACATGAGACACATCACAGTGGGATACCTGACTTTCCAATAAAAAGAGGAGTGAAAACTACAGGCATTGCTTGTTGAGAATAAAAAACATTCATACTTCAAGACTATGAGGCAAATATTCATTTCATGTCAACTCTTGCTCCAAAATGCTTGTTCACAATAAAACCACAGGGTACATATGCAATACAAATATTCAGGAAGAAAATTCAGGCTTGGATTAAACAGAGAAGAAGTGAAAGGTGATAGAATAGGAACAACTTTTAAACACTGAAGGGAAATAGTGAACTCATGATAAAAGTTGTGAATGAACAGACAGATGTTGTGCTGGAGAGACAGGTGTTGCCATGCTCAAAGGAACAGTTCAACACGTGGGAAATATCAATACTTCTTTAATTTTATGAGCTAACTATGGGACCAAAGCTGGGGTCAGTTAGCTTTGCATAACACAGAAGGCAAACTCAATAAGCCTGGCTCTCTAAAAAGTAAAAAATTAATAGCCAACTAGGAACTCTTAATAACACACTGTTTATATTTTGAATACAAAGTGAAACAAAAGCGTACAAAAGTTGTTGTTATATAGGATGTAGGTGTATGTAGCCTACCAACAGGCTAACCAGCATAACTACTTTAGTCAGTAATAATAACATAGTAAACAGACTAAAATAATAATATGTATTACTTATAAGGTGCCAGTCAGAAAAGTAAAAATAGCTAATGTTAGCGCATCCAAATCCTAGATAACATTACCTTGAGTCAGCTAACTCTTAGCTAGCTTACATTACCCTTTGTTAGCATTGCTAGCATTATCTTTGAGCTATGATTTATCAAAGATGTCTTAAGCCTACCTGAATAGTGTAAAAAGCCCCTCAATTGATTTTCACTTTCAACTATCTCCCTAGAAGTAACTCGTCAATCAAACAGCAGTGGAAAGATAATGATTTGTCAGATTTCCTAAATTTTTCTGAAATGCAAGTAGCAAAGCAATCAGACATTGAGTATGACACCAATGGTGAATGGCTGCTCTGCTAATATGGTGAATAACACAGCTAACTGCAAAACACTGTTGGGATGTTTTTGGTAAGCTACAAATGTACGTAGGCCTATGTAACCAACCCAGGCTGCTATCGTCAAACACAGACGCTAACACACACAGACAGCAACTCAGCATTCCTGACTATTCCTGATCCCTGACCTTTTATCTGTAGAATGTATTTGATTAGATTTTAATATCAATTTCAAATGTAGATAATGAGGCATGCATGAAACTGGGAGGAGGGGTTGACATAAACCTGAGCCACTAAGGTGTGAGCCACCTGTTTTTCTAAGCTTTAAAGAGAGCCAGGCAAGGTGCTTCCTGTCCTGTTTTGCTAAGCTAAGAGTGACCTCAATCTCATCATTTGAGCAATGAAAAGAAAGCAAATACAGATTATCCCTAAAAATAGCAAACTATTCCTTTGAGCCATGAGCAGCAGCAGTCATCCAAGCAAGAATACAAAACACTCAAGGTTAAAGAAAAAAACAGTCACCATAGGGTCTGCTTGACTCTAATCAGTGGGATGAAAGAAAAAGACAAGGGCAGAGGTTTGACTGTGCACTTGTCTCCTGTCTCTGATCCGAAAGCAGGATTAGAAGCTCAGTCTTTGGTTTATGTGGTGAAGTTACAACACACCAAAGCTGTGCTTCCTCTGTGTGGCAACCCTGTGGAAGAGCTCGACAACTGAAAAGCCTGTGTGTCTTAGCACATCCTGCACTTTCAGCACGATCAAACCACCGTCAAATCTCACTCTGCCGGGGAGCTGTTTGTGCAGCTGGCTCTGCTGTTTTGATTGAGACCCAGGAGGAGATCAGAGAGAGCTGAAGGTTGCAGCCAGAACATCACACTTAACAGTTTAATACATCTCAACAACTCAAGATCTGCCTGAGTCAAAGGTTAACAAAATGACTACTGGAGTAAGGGACTACATCCAGGAGTCTGATTCTGGGTCCTATCAGCTCTCTTCTGGTCTTTGATCCTTTGTCATTCTCTCAAAATTCAGCAGATTGGAGGCTTCACATCCACAACACTTCTTCTGTTTGACTTGAAGGCAGAGAAGAAACAGGCCACACAAGAGACAAAGAGTGTGTGATCCTGGTTTCTCTGTTCAATAACAATCAGAAGTCTTAAGAGTTTGAATCGGAGCCTCCATTGTTGCAACAAACCCCTTTACTACCTTGATAGTTGTCCACCTTTCTTCTTACTGGCTTCACTCCTGATAGGTTAGCATTTCCACAGTTATTGAAAGTTACTAAACACAGACCTTGCGCAAATGTGTCGATACTTTCCCCCTGTTTTTAAAACTTAAATCATGATGAGCAAAAGATAATAACATTGAAATCAAATGGCTAAAAACTTTAAAAAAATGACTAAATGATGCTACTTTCTTTTGCGTCTGATCAAATTGATAACAAACATTCATATAAACTAATGCCAAGTGAAGTCTTAGATTTGTTTTGTTACTTAAACCTAATAAGGAATTACCATTACTGTTTATAGAGTGACTGTTAAATTGCGAAGTCAAGAATTCACATTTTTCAAGTATCCCTGACTTGGAACACATGTATTTAGCGACTAGTGAAGAGTGTGATATGAAAATTATTAGTAATATTTGATGCTGTAATTTTATTTTATTTTTTAATCACATGATAAAAGTCTCAGCAAACTTTTTTTAAATTTACTTTCAAAATGATAAAACACTTGGTTGAGCAGAACAGAACATAGATCATTTTTCATGTATCATTCACATATTTAGTAGATCCTGGTCAGACATCAGTTTATTCTGTGCATAATTGTTTCAATTCAGATTATAATTATTATTGTTTTTGGGCTTGTTATGTCTTTATTTAGAGATAGGACAGTGGGTAGAGTCAGAAATCGGGGAGAGGGAGAGTAGAGAAAGAGGGAAAGGAGCCACAGGTCGGATTTGAACCCAGGGACTTTTTAACATTACCTAAGGGTTTTCAGTAATTCATTCATAAGTATACTAGGACGTTACAACTTGTCAGTGACTAAAAAAGGACACTGTTGTGGTTTTAAAATACATTTAAAGCGAAACAGGAGCTGGAACTACATCTACAGTGAGTCATAACGTTTAGTTCAACCCTGTAGGAAAAAAAATACAGGTTGACTTTTAAATCTGTGAGACACTACTGATGAAATGAGTCAGAGGACCAGCAGTTAACCAATTAATGAGAGACTAATATTAAGAGAAGTAAACTAATCGAGCATATCATTAATTGGAATTAGACTAAATGTATTGAGTGTTTTAAGGAAATGAATCACCACTTGTAAAACTTACGTGCGCCTGAAAGCTGCTCTTATGTCCAGACCTTCAGCAGCACGAGCCTCTGAAAAGCACAGCAGTGGCCAAAGCCATTATAAAACACAATATATATACCACTGACTAAAACTATAATGTCAGACATACATAAAAGAATATTAAAACAAGTCAACACAAACAAAGAAGCGCTCACCATGTACTGCCAAGTCAAAGTTACAACTGTCAAACTTGTCCCTGGATGTGACCTCACACCTGTAAGCTCCAGCAAAGTTAGGCTTGGCTGCGATGACTTGCATCTCAAATGTATACACCTGCAACCACATGCATGAGGAGAGATGTTAGCAGAGGTACACAGTGAGGCTGACATCTTTGATTAAAAAAACCTTCTGATACACAGTATGTGCTTCATATTTAGAATGTTCTAATGTCAGATTTGGGAGCTTTAGATCTGGGAGTGTGTCAGAGCTTTTTCCAACTTATTTTGCTTTGTAAGATCTTCTTTCACTCTTTCACTTGGGTAAATATCCATTCAGCATTAGCGCTAAGGTGATGTAAGGTTCATTGTGTTATCAGGAAAAGTTGGTGAGGCAAGAGTTTGCAAAACAGGCGGTGAGAATGACAATGTTTGCAAAACCCTGTTGTTGCCTCAAAGGAAAATAATTGTAATTTTGCAATTTTTTAGAATGTGTAATAAAAGATAAATATCATTGAGAGATGTTTTTATGCTATCATTGATTTATGGGATACAATCACGTACATTATGTTTCAAGACATTATAATATGATGATATTTTCTGCTAATGTCTATGCCCCTTGTTAGTAAATAGTTCTACCTTGGTGTTGCGGTCATATGTTTCCTTTAGCTGAAGGTGTTTTCCAGACTTGCTGGCGAGGTCCATCCACTTCCCTTTGATCCATTTGATGGTTGGCTTTTTCAGCAGTGATTCAGCATTCACTTTAGCCACAAATGTGATGTTTTCACCTGCACATCAGAATAGTATTTTATTGCCATATCTAATGTGGCTTTGGTTTTAATGGTTGTTCATTTGTTACTCATGTTACACTCATGTTGTACTTGAAGAAGACTTGAACCGATCATTGCACAAATGTTGCAGCCACAAATAATTCAGCAAATGTATTGCGTTTGAATTGATGCCTCTCACCTACAGTGACGTCTCCACTCTGAGGTTTCTCTGAAAAGATGCCAGTCAGGTCCTGCCTGGTGTCAGGAGGCTGAGCCTCTGAAAATGTCATTTTCAGCATTACATGTTCATTTAACAGAGGAGAGTTACAAATAATAATACAAAAATCATCCAACTTTTGAACATGGAAAAACCTGCATTTTATCTGAAATGTTTGTTTAGACTGAAAATTTGGATGTGATGACATTTTGTAGGGTTTTTAAGGAATCAGGTTATTAAGTCAGTGGACTCCAGTTAAATTAGCATTAGTTACTGGATGTGATTTGATTGTCTTGAATCTGTCTTTCCATGATAGCGTTGAATAATGAATAATGAATGCTGGAGTAAAAATATTCAATTGAAATCTCCCATTAATAAAACTTGAGTAAAGTAATTAAAGGCCTTTATTTAAGAATGTGAAGTTAAGAGTAAAAAGGGAAAAAACTTTAGAATACGACTGAACTGATTATGGGATGTATCTGCATATTAACACCGACTGAGCTTTGTATTAATGAACTGTAATGTATTTGGCATGTCCAAACTTAGCTCACAGAAATATGACAGAATAAAGGGAATGAATGAATACAGGGACTGACTAACTCACCCTCAGCAGATGGAGCATCAGGTGCTGGGGCGACGGTATGGTCCTCTGTGGTGGCTTCTACAGGCGGTTCAGCAGGGGTCTGTTCTGGTACTACAATGGGCTCCGAGGATCCATTAGCGGGGGCCTCAACTGGAGCCACTGTGTCACCAACACAACAGAGATAATAAGTCACGAGTAAGAGATTACATTTTTTTTTATGTGTTTATGGGCTTTTATGCCTTTATTCAGAAAAGACAGTCGATAGAAAACCTGGAAAAATAGAGAGTGGGGAATGACATGCAGGAGAGGAGCTGAAGGTCGGAGTCAAACCTGGACCACCTTCTCTGAAGACAACAGCCTCTGTACAGGGGAAGCTCAAGCTTACCACGAGGCCAACCCACTATCAAGAAGTTTATTTTCTTAAGTGACATTTTTAAAAGAAATAAAAGTGAATATGTTATGTTCCAGGACATAAACTCTATAAAACTAAGTCATTTGTACTATTTGATGTTAATGATGTTATGTGAAACTCAGCTCTGACAGAGGGAAATACTCTTTGACAGACTTTTATCGTACAAATATTTCTTATGTCTTATCATTTTGGACAGCTGACTTGTTTTCCATGTGTTATCAGCTAGCTCTAATGCCTTTCCTGAGAGCCCGTCAAGTGGTGGTTACTCATGAGGAAATAATGTGCTGGACAAGTGAGGGTCAAGGTCGGCAGGCAGACAGAGTAAGGGCTGCAATGATATGAGCCACAGACAGTCTTGTGCAGTGCACTGGGCCCAATAGTCTGCTTCCTTTCCTTCAGATTTATTTCCACCTTATCAAATCCAAGCAAACCACCTCAGCATGTCAGACTGACAGACTTATGGCAAAAATGTTGTTCTGTGACACACTTAGCACTCAGACTAAGCATAATACACACTAGTGCTGTACAGTGTCATTCCAGCAAGTGATTGCCAATGTCCAGCTCATTAAAGGGACAATATGAGATTTAGAAAATTGCATTTTGAGATATTTTGGGGGGGACCCATTCATAGCACCCATTGCTTTGAATGAAAGGTTCTGGCCAACAAACAAATAAGCTAAAAGTTGTATAGCTTATATCCAGGTTTCCTCCAGGGTTGTGTACAAAGCATTCAAAGGCTTAGGTAGAAAAACTTCTTTGTTTTAAAGCTGTTTACAACTCCATTCACAGGCCTTAAAATTCTGTGCACAAGGATTTGGATCCTGAGTAACAACAAGATGGTTTTTTTTTAACTTTTGGATGTCATATGTGAAATTGTAAAATAAGAAGTACTGCTCTGTGGATTTTGTGTTCTTTGGCCAGAGCCAGCCAAGGCTAATTGATTCTCTTTCTTTAAGATTGTTTATTCATGATTTGTTAGCTTCAGACTTGACAGGAGCTAATCATTGTATTTTCCATAAGCTTATTCCTTTTTGAGAAAACACTTGTAAAGGTAGACCATGAAATGTGGTGTCAGAAATGTGCTGTACTGTCGGACAGTGCAGAAGGTGAGTTCATGTGCAGAAACATCAAATACATGCAGTGCATTAAGAGTTTACAGCCTCAGTGACTTTCTCAGTGAGTGCTCTATTTTTTGTGTTCTGTGCCCGTCACTTCAGCCGGTGTGTAAGCAGAGACCTCGTACACACAGCTGCAGCATCAAAGACTCCCACCTGGCATCGGTATGACCTTCAGCTCGAACTTGACCTTTGACCCCCCAGCAATTACTGCATAGGCATTGGTATCTTCTTTGGTAAGGGCTGTTATAGTGAGTGAGTGCTTGTTTCCGTCGGCTTTGATCACACATTTGTCGCTGCTGGTGATGTCCTTAGAATTGCATTGCCATTTTACTTTAGCATCAGGCTTCTCGGTCTCTGCTTCAAAGACCACAGAAGACCCCTCCTCTGCCTCCTGAGTTTTTGGTTTCTTTGAAAATGCTGAAACTGAATAGGGAAGGTGGGTAAAAACAAAAATCAATGAGCCTTTTCATTATGTCTGCTTTTAAGGTGCTAAATAAGAGTACTCTAATTGTGACGTTTCTTAAAGATTGTTAAAAAAAATAATGCCTTTAATGTAAAACATATAATATTTAAGAACAGAAGCCATTACTATAGACAAGAACAATGAAGCTATGACTGTTGTTGTAGAAGTACAGAGAAGAGTCTGCAGCTCACCTAACATCTGTCTGGGAAAAGGCATCTTGATCTACCTTGTTTTTTCAAATAGTTGTATATGGTTACAACGCATAGTCAAGTCTGATCAATACAGTTTGATTGCTGTATCTGTTTATTCTTTTTGGAAAGTTATGCACTGGAGTCGATAAAGATATGTATTTAACAACAACCAACAAGATCCCTTCATCAGAGTTTAGGACGCTTTTTAAAGTGTTGCCAAGAAGACCAGATCAACACTGGTGTCTGTGTGTTTATAATTTGGCCTCTGGAGCCTATTCAAATAGTAACTGTGTTAAAAGGCTTCCACTAGCCTGGACAAATGTGATTAAATTTACATAATGTACTGTATCTAGTTTTAAGCTCTGGTCCATGTGGAGCAAATATATATATATATATATATATATACAGTATAAGTTATAATACCATGAGAAAGTGCAGCTGTTTTATATTTACATAAAATGTTAGTGTAAACTTTGGCTTAAAAATGTGTTGAAGTAAAAAGAACAATATTTCAATATAAATGAAAGGAAGTGAATGTAAAGAGATTAGAAAAAGTAAAGTACAGGCACCAGAAAGCTTGATGACAGTCATCACAGGACATCAGACCGTTGTGTCCTCCTGATCAGGTTATGTTTAAAGTCTGTTCACTTGTATTAATAATTAGCATTCATTCAACTCTAATAAAAAGGCTAATGATCCTAACTGGGGACAGGAAGCATTTCAACTCGTCTACGGTCAGTCTGAAGACTACTTGTAAAAAAAATATGCTTAAAATAGTGAGTGAAACCACTGGCCTGAAAGCAGACATGTGTCTCACAGTAACAGCAGGTGTCTGGAGCCATGAAAGATATTACTCATGAATTTTGTTGCCATGTCTGAATTCTAAACAGTTCAACACAAAACCACACAAACCTTATAGATTTAAATATAGTATGCAAATGTTCTGGACTAATAACTGAGTGTGGCAGGTTTCAGCGGTAACAGTGGCCCAGGTATCATAGTCTAGGGATTAACTCGACTCTATTTTTATGACTCTGGAGGCACAGGAAGAATGACGTCCCCGCAGTCTGTCTGCAGCCTGCCTGACTGTTAACACATTGCTGGTTGTCAATCATCATGTTGCTTTAACAGATGCATTTGTCCAAAAGGTCCCATGTCAGTGGGTACAAGATCTATCCATTGTTTGTTTAATTATAACCTAACTTTTAAAACCAGATTTTATTAATAAATTAAAACTTATTTTTATTGTATGTAAGGATCTTTATAGGCTGCTTGCAAAGACGACCATGCAGCCATGTTTTTTCAAATACAGCTATTTTGGGGTTATTTGCCCATTTTAAAGGAATGTGTGAATGTACATACCATATTTATCAGATGAAGATAGTTGCGTCAGCTAAGAACTAGTGTGACATCATAGCAGCCCAACACAGTGTAGCAAGCTATTAATTAAGTTCAAAGAAGAAGAAGACACAGTAATAAAAAAAACCCTTATTTTGGTACCATTCCAACTTTTGATGGTGGAAACACCAATAAATGGGTACTATACCGAACCTAACTTAACTGGATCGCTTTGTGGAAACAGGGTTTATGGTGTATCAGGAAGAGGTGAACCACTTCTTTGTTTCTGAGCAGGTAATGCAGATAGTATGTGTAAAGCTCTGTCACAGAGCCTCTAAAATCTTCAAAGGTGAATACTTGTGAAAACATGTATTGGGCATCTATAAAATGACCTGTAGCTGTAAACGTAAGGAGCTCTGCTGACTCAGGTGATAACTCTCTGTGATGTCATCAGAATATTCTATTAATTTGGGTCATAGCTTTTACCCCTTTGAAAAGTGATTATCAGCAGTTGTTGAAATGTGTTTAAACCCTGGTAAACATCCTGTTGATCGCAGGGTGTTAGTAATAATTGATAATTATGCTGCAGGCTCAAGATGATCATAACTGACATAGTCCTGAGAAAATCCTTGACACTAAACGTGTTGGCCCACACACGCTGCTCTGTGTCAGTTGACATTTGATACGTTGAGCTTTACACTCCACACACAAAAATCCATTCAGGCCAACGAGAAGAAAAAAAAAAACTGTGGAAAGTCATCTGTCAGGTTGGAATCCTGTCTGGCATTTCAGGATCAGTGGTGTATTTTGTGAATGCAATGCTGCTGGAAATGTGAGCGTGTGTGTTTCACATCAGACAATGTTTCCACATGGATCCTGTGACAATGACTCGGTTCCTGACAAGGCTGAACGAGTTCACAGTAACTATCTCCCCACCGGAGATAACCAATTCTTCTGACATACAGTACCTAAGTCATATAAATTACATTGATTTAAATATAGCTGACTAACCAGTTTTAAACAATCTGAGAAGCATTTTGTTTCTCAAAAAAGAGAGAATGCACATTTATTAACATAAGCATTGATGTGATGCAAACATTTAGCTGAAAGCTACAGAGTTCATCAGCAAACAATATGCCCTGTATTGTTAGGCAGGCTGGAATACAATTACCTTTTATAACTGAGACAAAATGACAATTGTGACTCAAAGGATGATGTTACTAAGTGATTCAAGAAAAAATAATAAGATATATGAAGACAATGTACATATCTCAAGTGAGTGAATTTGTTTTGGCTTGGAGTTGCCCAAAAGGGGTGTGGCCAAACATCATCAGATATATTCTCAAAAATGCAGGTCTAATTTAATTTCCTAGTTTCTAAGAGGACAATGATTATGGAGATGACACAAGAAGGTACAGAAGGACAGTATACCACTAAATCATCATTAGAAGCATGTTGATAGACTCAAAATATGGTCTTATGTGTTTCCATTGGGCTTCTTTGCTGAACTTGATTTTGCTAATATTCACAGTTTTACAGTTTGAGAAACAATTGATATCATATGTTAAAGAGCTGTAATAAAGTAGTTGAATCAGCAGGCTTACCTGCTTTTTTGACTGGCTCAGGCATCCTGTATGATCTCCTCTCCTCCTCAGCGTGATTCTCTGATCCTAAACAGTCTGCTGTCTATCTCAGCCCCCTGCCTTTAATAGTGGAATCCCCCCCCCCCACCCACCCACACAACACTCCCTATCATGTACCATCCCATTCCTCCTGCCATTATATCTCAAGGCCCAACACAATGTAAAAAAAAAGAAAAAAAACAACAACTGCCCCCTTGTTCTCCCCCCTCCTAAAACCTCATCCTATCCCAGCAGCTACATGTCCCCCAGCCCACCCACCTCCCGGCACGTCAAACCCCGAGCTATATTTCACCCATCCTTTCTTCCAACACCTCTGTTGACTGATAGGCCTTGAGAGGGAGGGGAAAGGATGTAAGGGAGCGATTAAATTTAGAAACCTGAATCCTAAAAAAAGTCTCTCTGCTCTCCACACATCTGTGCTGCACCCGGTCACCCTTTTAAAAATGTAAGAATGAATGTGAGAGGACAGTCAGCATTATGGAATAATATTAGCAAACTGGAGTTCAGGTTTAATCTGGTGAGTCAAGAGTAAGTCAATGCACATCAGAGCCCATATTGAAATTCTGTTTTTTCTATATAACTCATCTATTTAAATGATATTAAGCAAAGGTCAGGGCGTTCACTTTGATTGATTTGTGAGTAGTATGGCTGTATCCAAGATCATCTCAGCCAGTTCTGTCACTGAACATATTGGTTTTTATTTGTTTTTATCTGCAAATTATTTTCTCCTCTAAAATACAACTCATTTTTGTGCCTATTACATGGAAAGTTTGGAGACTCTATTGTACAGACATTAATGAGATATTGGAGTCTTTGCAAGTGTCCAACATCTGCACGTTAATAGATTGTACGCCAGTTTGTCTCGCCATGATACATGATTAAGGAATGAACTGAAGACAAAACATGATCAGCGTATAAGAGATGGACAAGGCAGCACATAAGATATTCATCTCTCTGAAAAAAGCACTCATTAGAAGCAATTCATTTGAAATGTACTTTACTTGTAAAATGAATACAATTTATATTAGAAAATAGATAAATTGGGCTGTTCATGGGGCTGTACAGAAGCTGTACTTGTCACAGCGGCAGTGTGTTTGAGTCCCGCCTTGTACCTTCACTGCATGTTATGCCCAGTGGCGGTTCTAGACCACCTTTACTGAGGGGGGCAAACTGGGGCCAGTTGTTTTGTCAGAGGGGAACATTAAAGTCAGGTGAAAAATAAACAAAGATGATCGCATTAAAAAATATATATATACTGTATTATGCCAAATAATAGCGCCCAACATCCACAACATAAAATACCAAGATTTATATTTGTTTCAGTAACAGTATTTAATACTAGATTGTGAGTCAAATACTGTGTATGTGTTATTAGGGGGGCTCTTCCTTTTGGAGGGGTGGCCACAAGGGGGACCAAGCTTAGTGTTGCCCCTGCCTAGATCTGCCCATGGTTATGCCCCAATCTCTCCTCCCAACATGTCCTGTCTCTATTCAGCTGTCCTATCCAATGAAGGCTAAAATCGCCTTAACTTTAAATATATATAGATATATATATTTATATAATTCATAAACCTTTATAACTGATGTGTAAGAAGTACTTGAATATTGTAGCTGCTTGAGATGGCTCTAATTAAACTTCCGTATGTATGGTTGGGTATACAGCATAGACTTCATGTTTTGGTGATACAGATAATACTCACGTGCAAGTTCTTTTTAATTGCATTGTTTGTGATTCCATGAATTACAACTCTTTCTAACTTCTCACCTGTAAATAACTTCTATTACAACTTGACCATTGAGGGGAGCTGTTGGCTCTTTGGACATCAACTACTAACACATCTCATGTTACATGTCTGCAAGTTAGGACTCCTCCATTTCACAGGGTTTAAATAAAGGGTCTGTTGTTGATCATGATTTAGTTTTTAGGGTTTTCTTGGTGTTTTATGTCATATTATTGAACTGTATTACATCAGTAAATGTGTCAAATAACTGTAGTAAGAAAAGTCTCTTACTTCCTTTGTTTCTGTTAAGCAGGAGGCAAGATTATATTCAAACTTCTCATGTACCTGAGAATTTGCACTGTTTTCTGAAAACTATTATGCTCTGTGAAGGAAACAATTCAGTATCACTCGTAAACAAATTCTGAAAAAATAAAAGGTACGTTTCAATTAAATTATGAAACCTTGCAAAAAAGAGTGTTAGTATAAAATGCAGGTAAAAAACAACAACTGGATACACAACTGCATTGCATACTTACACTGAAATATTAGATGGGGTACCTCGTGCTTCGCTTACACACTCTATGAGTAGAGAGCTGGCGCCTGCAGAGTGTCAGGATACACAAGCAGTGGGTGACAGAGCACTTCACTCCTGCTTCATTCTATTAACCTCCTAGTTCCCTTTAATGAAAGGTGTCAGCCCTTATCTGTTAACCAAACACTATACTCTAATTTCCACAAAGTTCACTTCTTCTTCTTGTTTTTACACCCTGATGTAGAAGTTAAGAATATTTACAACAGTCACACTAAACACACTTTAATTTAAAATGATTAATTAACCAAATCTAATAATTAGATTGTATCTACATTTTCAAACATCTGTAAAATGTTAATGTTTAAATCATTTTGAGTATATCTCCGTGGATGAAAAATTCAGTGGATAGGTCCTGATTCAGTCTTGTAAAATATAATACTACAACTAAAATTACAGTTAAAAACGCATACATTCATGAACAATTTATTTATTTACAAGCAATTATCAATCACAACAGAGAGTTTCATGTATGTACAGAATTTTTCATGTCATGTAAATAATTCCAATGATCTCCCTAAAGGCCTCTCTGTGTCTCCACCCTGTTATAAATATTTAATCGCAACATATGTACAGTAAGCACTATTACCCACAATTAAAGAGAACTAAAGCATGTCTGGAACAAGAGCATCAGACACAGTGGGACAGAAGTGAAGTTCAAACCATATAGTCTCTGAGAACGACAAGAGGTCATAAGACTACATGCGTGTATGTTAACTCTGAAAACGTGAACACAAACAATATACACTGGTTTGAATCAGTCACTGTGTACTTAATGATAGTGATCCAGGGTCTACACATAACTCAAATATCTCACTCTCATTTCCCCTTTTGCTTTATTCTCAATAATAGAAGTTAAAGGAATAGTTATTAGCTTGCTTAGGGTTGGATGAGAAGATTCAGACCATGTTTTATTGTAAAAGTCTAATGTAAAGTTAGAAAAGTCGTTGCTATAGGTACTTCAAACCTCACAGTGGGGACAAACTCCAGGAAGTCACTGCTCCAGGACCAGAAGTAGTTCAGCAAATGTTTCCCCTGAAAACTGCAAACTTTTTCTTTTTTCTATTTGCATTTTTCATATATTAAAGAAAAAATGTGAAAGTGTTTCTCAGCTAGCTTAAGAGTTGCTGGAACACTGATTTAATGAACTATAGTAAGAGCAGGGCAAGCTGTTCCTCTCTGTTTCCAGTCTTAATGCTAAGCTAAGTTAATATTTACTGTATTCACACAAGAGGGAAATCCATTTAAATATTTTGGCAGTTAAAGTACCTCCAAATTGCAAATGACTCTCTTTTAAGGTTAAATTTAAAAAAGCCTAACAAAAAAAAAAAGGAAAACATTTTAAAACGAGTGGAGGGGTCAAACACATATTACAACCAGACCTGGTAAAATGAACAAAGATGAATGTTTATCCAGATATTAAAACTTAGCATGGAAGTTTCACAACTCAAATCACAATCATTATTAATTTACGATCTGAATGTGAACTTTACTTGACTTGCAGTTCCAACTTTGGCCACTATGAAATTGTTGCGCTATAGAGCAGCTTGTGGCTCCAATCTGATACTGAGCAGAGTTAACCTTATCTCAGGAGAAACCTAAGGGAGGAACAAAATTCACAAATCCCAGAGTATTTATTTGCGAATATCTGTACAACCATTGATAGGGCATGAAGACTCTGCCACTTATTTAATATGTTAATGCTGATTTATGTTTTACCTTTAGAGGACTGACCTAACTGTACAACGGCAGTCATACTATTCTCATATAAGATAGATACCTGATTGAACAGGCTCATTAAACATTAAAAAACAGAATCGCCTCCGTTGTCAACACTTGACATGTGTAAATATCTTCACTTCAGCACCTGCTCTGACCTACACGAATGGTTTTCTCTCCAGATGACTCTTGCCCAGGACCTCATCACTGAACTGGTACGTCAGCTTCTTCTTTATCTTTTTCACCTCTCCTGTTTTGCCATAGTTGCGCAAGGCACGCGCCATCTTCTGATAGGTCATTTTCTTGCGGTTTCCCTTCTGAATTCCCCAGCGGTTTGCGAGGGCCTCCTTGTGTTTGGAAGAAAACTGGAATGTCCCTTTGTCTCTGTCCATCCACCAGATACTGTCCTTCATATCGCCGTTCCTTAAAAGGTCCAACAGGAACTGGTACAGACGAATCTTCTTTTTATTTCCTTTGAAAACATCAGAGAGGTTGCCAATTTAAGGTATGTGCACTATGAATATTTCATTTGGTACAAATTGAATATAATTATAAACAAAATAAAAGATAGACCTAGGATGAAAGCCTATTGATAAGTAGAATAGTGATACTCTAACCATATCATTGATGAAACAGAGATCTTGGAAATGAGAACAAGGAATACACATTTTAGAGCAGACTTAAAAACAACTAGGTTTAGACCTTGTTTTACCATCTCAAAAAAAAAAAAACTCGACAAGAGTTGAAGATTCACCATGTCTCAGAAAACTCTGTAAAATTCTTAGAAATACTGGCAGATAACTTCCACCATGAGTCATCTCATTGTGTTTCCCACATTGTCATTGTTTTTTATAGTACAGCGTTAGATAATGTAAATGAACACATCATCACTGAACACACTGTTCATGTCAAGATTAAAATGAATGGTCCTGTAAATATACCCTACCTGACCAGTAAGAGAGAACCTCCCATAATGTATAACGTCAGCTTTATATTCATATCTGCATCTACACACTCTAAATGTCCAGGGAATTACAATTACCAACAATTACCTAAGAGTCCTGCGACACAGAGACCTGTGACTCTGGTGGCGCTGTGAATCCAAGTTGGTTAAAGTGGACAGGACGTACTAAAAAAAAAAATCTTACAAGAGGGGAAACCTCATCAACCCCCCCCCCCCCCCCCCCTCCCCTCCCCCACCGGATTGTTGATGGACGATTTGCCTCCCCCAACCCCCTTGCGCTCTATCCCTCTTCCTGCATCTTATCCCATCTCGCTCCCTATCAATTTCCAAGCCTGGCGCAGTCTAGGCCTGCGAAGGCTGTTTCGTCATGAGCCGGGGATCCGGCTGAAGATTTCTGCCTTTTAATAAGGCAGTTTTTTCTTACCACTGTAACTTTTGCTGCTTTGCTAAAGTGCTCATGATGGATAGGCCGGGTCTTTGTAATATAGCAATAAGTAAGGTCTTTTACCTGCTTTTTGTAATGTTAACAGACAAAGAGTAAGGTATTTTACTTTTTGTAGTGTCTTGAGATAACACTTGTTATGAGTTGACGCTATACAAAAATAAATTGAATTTAATTGAATTTAATTGAATTGAATCAAAGGGACTGCCAGGTGTTTAGTGGGTATATGATTATCCTGAACCTACATGATTAATTCCACAATCTTATCTACAAATCCAGTTTAGGAAATTGAAGTTTGAAGCAAAAAGAAACAACCACTTCCTTTGAAGATACTTGGCCTGAAATTTAGAAGCAATTGTGCAACTAGGAGCTCATCCTAAAAGTGCATTTTAAACTGTCAGCAGAACACGAGGCTGACATGCTTCAATCCAAAACATACATCATATCGTGAGTATGAAAACACTGGCCTGCCCTTGATCCAGGAAGGATTACAGCAGCTCTCATTATTACAGGTTGAGTGGAAACCATGAATGCCACCTAGCACACTATACAACTTAACATGTAACTCAACTGCTCACATCAGAGGCGGCACATGCCCTCTTGTTAGGCTGTATAACCACAGACTGACAGCTACTGGACTTACTGTAGATTCTTATAATTTAAGACTTTACAAGAAGTCCAGTGACTTATCACGTCTACATATACCATGACCTGGATGGCTGAGAATCTGCACATGGCCAGCGCAACTGGTGTGTCTTAAAGTGTCCGTGTTAACTGCTCACTAGAGAGCTCAAGAGCCCCCCCCCCCCCCCCCCCCCCCCACTGGACACCAAGTACAGTATGAAATCACCTATAGATCTGTTTTCCATACCTAGGTCTGCTGTGACATAAGTGGCTCGATCTCTCAGACACTCTTCATCAGAAACCTCCAGCGGGGGACTTCGTCCTCCATGCTCCTCATCATCAGAACTGCGCTGGGACACATGAGGAGGATACACAGTCCGAGGGAAGAACGTGACCTACAACAGACACGTCAAACTTCGAATGAGTCCTAGATCAAATATATTTGCAATATTTGAACCTAGAGCTTGTCAGTGGTGTTATCCAGTACACTGCCTAAACACACACACAGACACACACACAGACACACACACACACACACACACACACACACACACACACAGACACACACACACACATACACACACACACACACACACACACACACACACACACACACACACACACACACACACACAGACACACACTCACACACACAGAAAAAAAGAGAGGAATTATATTACTGACTTGACATGTTTAGACATTTTGTTACCTTACTAGAAAAATACAGAACACTTTTTAAAACTTTGATATATGCTTTTGTCATAATTTCAGTTGATCTCCAATCTGGGTAATAAAATATTTTACTTGAGCTTTTGATACAATGACATTCATTATTCAGGACGAAGTAAATGAACAGTACTGTACTGTCGTATTACTACTCCACTACATGAACTATTCACTACATCTCACTGTAAGTGAAAAGGAGTGTGGCCACATCTCTCTGCATGAGCTGTGATGTGTGGACGCATGCCTGGCTGGGTAACACAAGTCAACGTCTTTATAACACCCTTAACAGAAAAAAACACACAGTGGTGGAAACCTGAAAGTTAAACAAGGTTTTTGTATTTCTTTTCAATTAAAATTGTGTTAGAAAGACATTTTCTTTTTATTTAAAAAAAAACATGTGTCCTTTTTTATATTTGAATTTTAAATTGTATTGTTCTAGCCCTGAAGTGGCACTACACTGCAGTCTAACCTGACTGGAAACTAATTATACAGTTGAATATGGTTTGTACAGTTCATGGAGGTCAAGGTGGATATGTATTGTAAAAAAGAAAAAGCTAGGTATGCCAGACTCTGGAGCTTCATTATGCTACATTATTTACAGTAATATATATATATTGTATCTTTATCGTTATTTTTATTCCTATATATTCTTATTTTATTTGTACTCATATTGCATGCTCTTCTCTTTTACTGCTGCAACACTTGAATTTCTCCACTGGGGATCAATAAAGGATTATCTTCCAAATTCACAGAATCTGTTATTGTAATCTGAGTATATGATGTGTGGGAGGTTTTTAAAAAAAGAAGAAAAAAGAAAAATAGCACTAAAACAAGTTGTTTCTTTTCCTCACTCACTTCTTAACAAATGCCAGCCAAACCATTTTTTTGTTTTACAACACAACAGCACCAAACATCTCTGCTCTAGTTTGCAGATTCAAAACTATGAAGAATGAAACATGCAGTTAGAGCTGAGCCTTCAGACCCTGTTCAAAGACAACATCCTATGCACACTGACAAATATAGCTTCATATCAGATCTTTAAATGTATCTTTAAAAACTAACATTGAACTTTTTCTTGCAACTCAAAGATTCACTTCCTATTTTTGTATTCCAAAAGGATCACAAAAAAGACTTGGTGTCCCTGAATGCCCCCTCTTATTTAAAACTCAACTCTGAATGACGTTACATTTGCAGTGACCGTGAAGATTATTTGTTATTTTAGGCTTTTGAGTGATTGTAGGTTAGAAAGTCTCTGTGTGAAATACACCAACTGTATTATTTGACCACCTCAGCACCAACAACATGTCGAGCCTGATGTCTAATACAGTAATAATGTAGTCAGATTATTAACACACCAACAAGGAATCCTTACTTTGACCACAGGCATCAAGTGAAGCCCCTGACTAATAATACAGAACGTAACATTTCTAAGCATTATAAAAAAATAAAAAATAAAAATGTATAACTTTTTAATCTTCTGCCTTTTGTTTCTGTTCCTGCAGGTTCATGCAGCCATGTGTGTGTCTTTCTATACTGTATGTCTGTTTGGTTTAAATGAATAGAGGTTTTATTTTATTTTGAATTACACTTACTGGTTGTTGTAACACATGTGGATGGCCCCCGAGGTTTGGATCGAGCAAGCTTTCAGTCTCATATCGTATGGCCTCGTGCCGGATGAGGCCGGGCGGGTGGAGAGTCTGCACACTCTGCAGCTCTGTGAAGTTGTTCTCTTGGAGGTTTTCAAACTCAACTGGGTGGACATGCGGGTGAGCGTGGTAATCCCAGTGATCTAAATAGAGAAGGTGAGAAACAACAAACATTTCTACAGCTTTTAATTGTTTCTCTTCATCACAGCGACACTCATTTGTGCTGTAGAACTAATAAAAAAAGACAGAAATGAACCCGAGTCAGATTTATCTCCATGCTGCATTCATGAACATATATTTGTCGTGATTTGAACCAACAAAAAAACACATTTGAACTGCTAGAGATGACTCATGAGAAAAGCCAGAATGCATTTCTATGAAGCTGTATCTTCGACTTAAAGTGAACTTGACAACCAACTGCTTACTCATAGTGTTTGAGTTTTGCGTGAGCCGGGTGAAACTAAGATAATAAGAGAGAATTCAGCATGAAGCTCTTTGCTGCTTGTTGCCACATTAGCAGTGCTCCTACAGCCGATGACTTTAAGAACATTTTAAGTCAGATTAGAATTTTGAAGGTTTACATTTTTTTCAAGAGTGGCCATGAAGAAAAGGGGACGGCAACATGGGAGGGACGAAGTGTTTCAAAAGCCATCCTCTCTAAAACTACAAATGTGATCTTTTATCGGTATATGTATAATGTATATACATTTAGGTTATAAGATACATTTGAGCTGTTTAGGTACCAGACATGAGATAGTCTATTATAAATACAACCACAGCATTTTCCCTACAAGGTCCGGAAATAACTCCCACCCTCCTATTTAGACTGTTTTGGTGCAATATTCAAAACTGTTGATCAGAAGAGAAAGTCAAGCTCCCCTCATGTATCAAACAAAGCCCCATGGGGCGAAAGTCGTTCTATGTCTGTAGTCGTAGCGGCCGAAAGAAATGGCATCTGTTTCCTGTGTTCAATCCACCCTAATGTGGTGCGCTCCAGCTGCACGGCTGCAGGCTTTTTCTGAACAACACACCAGAAAAGTCCCTGCATCAGGTCACATCGAATAATTTAAAGAACAAATTTGAGGGATAAATAAAAAGGTTCTCTTTTCACATAAACGTTGAGCACAGAATTTAATACCAGATTACAATACATGAATGAATTCATTTCACTAAATGACATCAACATTTCCCCTGAAAACAATAATTCACTTTTTTTGGTAGTCAAATATAACTCAATGATTAATAAAACAATGTGTGATTTAAATAAAAAAACACTTTTAAAAAGATGATGTTGAAGTTAAAACTCACCTGCCTGGATATCTGTATCTAGGACATATGGATTATAATATTCTGCAATTTGATGTCTGTAGATCTCAGGATCGTACATCTCTTCTGAGTGCTGCGAGAAGTGCAAAAAAGTATTTTTAGCCCCAAAAAATACAGATGAAAACAAATCTTTTACTGGATGGTGTGTATGCAGCAGACAACAACTTTAAAAAAAAAAAAAAACTTATTTTTTTAAACACTCCTCATCTTTCTCTTTATTTGCCTTTGTTTCAAGCTCTGACTGTTCTGAAACTCTCAAGAACTTTTGAGTTTCATTTTCCTGTTGCCCTAAGTATAAAAGACTCCGTTTGTGTCCTGTTTTCACATTGAAGTAGACTCACACTAAGTCGTCTAATTTGAAATAATACACCTTTTAGACTGTTTCTGTAAAATCCTTTATAAGAAAAGAAAAACCTACTCAAAAAAAACTCCTCATTGAACTCCATTTGATTCTTTAAGTGTAAGGAGAGTCTCCTTAGAGTTAGGATATATTAGAATAAATGATACTTACAGGCGGGATGAGGTAGCTCTCCATTCTGTACGGATGCAACATGGAGACGTCTTCTCCAACAGTCCGACTCTCAGATGCTCTGCTGGCAAAACACTCTCACAACCTTTCAAAACTTTTGCGGCACCATTGCACAATGTTTCAAAATTTCCTCTAGCTCAATGCAAAACTAAAAATGCCTCTTGCTCTCTTATTGTATAGCCTCTCTTAGCTGCTACTGAAGGCCTGTGTTAGAATAAAGTGAAATAAATAAGGCCCGCTGTTTGGCTGTTAAATGGAAAAAGGAAACTTTTGACTTCTGTAAAATGTCTGTGGGTGGGGAGCAGCAGAGTGTGTCTGCTAAAGGTTCCTGGCCATTGATGATTTGTCAAGGGAGACCATGAAACTCCACATTTATCACGTCTTTACACTGTCCCCTCCTCTAAACAGCCAATCATCATCAAGAGCTCCACTCACTGTCAGTTTTTAGCCCCGGATTAAAATGAGATAAACAGGATCCGAGAGATGTTGGATATTTGTGCATTGTTTCTCCGAGATTCTATATCTTATATTTTTAGTCTTGACATCAGTGAAGTTGATGAATAAATGCATTGATGCCATGAAGAGAATAATGGGTAGCTTTAGCATTGATAATAGGTAATAATGGTTAATAACACACTGATATGGAGCAATAGGTATAGGGAAATGTTAATTAATTAATTAACATTATGTATTTATTTTTTAATATATTATATAATATCCCTGTTGTATTGTTGTTTTATGTTTTATAGAAAGCACTGTCTAAATGTTGTTTTTAAAAGGTGCTTTACAAATCAAGTTATTGTTTTTATTTACATATTTATTTCAATATGGAAATAATCATGTAATCATGTTATAAAGATGTTAGATCTTTGGAAAAATACTGCATATTAACAAACAAATGTATTTCTTATGTGTACTCATTTGAGGGTTACATGTAAGGTTCTGGAAATGTCCCACATCTTGTGTTTAGGGACAGTAATCTTAAGAATTGCAACTAAAAATAGGCTAAATTGGCCATGTCTGTTCAAGCATACACTGAATATGATCTTTTCATGGATTTACACAAACAGAAAACACCGTGAAGCCTTGACATGTCTGTATAAAGTGTCATTTAATAAATATGTATGAAATAGAGTTTACAGTCCCCATGCACAACAATTTACTGTGTCAGTGGATTGTGTTGTTAGGCGTCAGCAAAGTGTGTGTTAGTGGGTGTATGTGTGTGTGTGTGTGTGTGTGTGTGTGTGTGTGTGTGTGTGTGTGTGTGTTGTGTGGTGTGTGTGTGTGTGTGTGTGTGTGTGTGCGTGTGTGTCTAGGTGTCACATAGTAAACAAGTTAGTGTCGGTCTCTGACTGCAGACCTGAAACAGACAGATTGAAAGTGTAGTCTGTAGCAAAATGACTTAAACATATTTTGTTGATGTAAACAGTAATTTTCTGAAGCAGAATGTTGGCACACGAACAGGCTACCACCTGCCACACACTCACACACACACACACACACACACACTCACCCACACACAGGCACAAGTACAAGTCTTGCACACACAGCTGGAAGATAAGATAAAGGTACAGTATCTGTGTTGTAACCACACTGTGGTAAATTCAGATTATAATTATCATGAACAGGAGATAATGTTAGAGCAATTCCAGGGAAGAAATAAGTCGTTCTGTTGCAAAGAAAACCGCAAAGTCTGTTTGTGTGCTTTAAAAAAAATCTTGTGATACAAAAAAAACAAAAAAACAATCAATTGGAGAAAAGTGTGTCCATGGACAATTAGGGTAGAGTAAAATAAGTTGGGCTACCAGTTTCTGAAAATATCATAACTGATACTGAAGTGTCTGCATGCAACCAGAAGAAGCGATAACCACAGTAGCGCAAATCTGAGTGTGTATTGTTAGCGCTGCCTGTTTAAGAAGAGGACTGCAGCTCTGTGAAAAGGACAAATGCTTAAAATACTATTCTCTGTGAGATCAAACTACTGAGGTTATGTTTAAGGTGGCCATGCTAGCCACAATTTAGAATATGGTCAATTCATGTTCAAAATGCCAACATAAATGACTTTGTGCAATATTAAGAAAACAGGAATGTTATAATGAACGTGCAGCAGATAGTGATTCTGGATAGAAAGATAGTTACTGTTTGCAGTTTAGCTACATTTCTCTCTGCGGAGTGCTTGATATCATCGCGGTTATGTCGCTCGCCACATATATGGAGGCTAAAGTCATCATCGCAGCGGCCATGAGTCCGACTCTGCCCTGGTCCCTTTGCTGCATGTCATCCCCCACTCTCTCTCTGTCTCCCTTCAACTGTCCTATCTAATGAAGGGAAAAGGACCCAAAAAAACTCAAACTAAAATACATTCCTCCACATTATGCTCTTAAACTAATCTATAAATCAGCGGTCAAATAAAGTACCAGCCTGTTAAACCAAGCAGGGAAAAAAATAAACTTTGTCCCAGCAGGCATCAGTGAGATCAACAAGTCATTGTGAAACAGCTCTGAGAAGCAAAATTCTGTATCGTTTATTCACTTTTTATTGAGCTCTGCACATTCAATCTTGTTTTTCTGGTATCTCTATTTTTACTGATTTATCAGTAAAAGTTATCCTTTTAGTAACGGGCACTTTGCTTACTTATCCTGCCTTGTGCTGTTTTGTGTGTGTTGAAAGGAGGCAGACTCAGTCACAAATACAGTAACCTAATCTAAGCTAATAATCATATCTCACTGTCTTCATATGCTAAATACGTCTAACACTCTAAGCCTTGTTTTCTTTGTCTGCTTAAGGAGAATTGCATTCACCAGGGTCCGGGGAGCCCCGTCTTAATCACAGCTCGCTGAGGAAAACTAACAGCACATTTACAGCAGCTTTTTCCAAGAGTATTAATACACAGAGTGACCTGCAGCAGGGGAGGCTCTATTTCAATCACAGGTCTTAAAGTGAAGCTGGAGGACAATGTTTATAAGGGGACTTTTTGTCATTGTTGACCAGCAAACTGGCTGTAAATACAACTAAACTGTTTGAGTGACATGTTCGATGCTTCAATGTAAATGTAATAATGAGTGAAATTAATCTCACAGGGTCATTTTAGTTTTATAATAAAATAACAAATGGAGTTTTAACTTTGAATATTCATGACAAGAAAAATCCTGCTTTTAAAAGTAAAAAAAAGTCCATATGTAGGAGTATAAATACAAAGATACACACTTCAAGGATACAAAGTGAAAGCACTCATGATGCTGACAATTGCGCTTGTCAGAATAACATTGGATTATAATTATCAATGCTTTCATGTGTATGTTGGCTTAATATTGCAGCTTGTACAGATTGAGACAAATACATAATTTATTTTTGATGATATTTTGTATTCATGATCTCAATCTGCATCAGAACCAGCTGTAAAGTGAATGAGAATGTACACCACTTCTAAAGCCTGGCTCACACTGCAGGATAATCGGGTCGATTTGAGCTTCGATTCTTCCTTACCGACAATCGCAGGGTTGCTCCCGACTCAAGACTGCTTGGACCAGATTATCTGCTCAGATGATCTTGAAGTTTGATATTTAGAATTTAAAAATCTTGACAATTACATCAGGAAAAGGTTCCGGCAGAAGTTGTGTGTGACTACAATATAATCACGAGAGACAAGGGAGGACTGTAGTCATGGTGACCAGCGGCAGGACGCAACCCAGCGTTTTTTGTTTTTTTTTACTTTTCTGTACAGATCATCAGTGCAGCACTTATCTGAAACTTGTATCCATATATCTACAATTGTATCAACTTGTCTATATCCTACAACAAGTTCCACTTCCTTCTCTTTCACCAACCGTCGTCCGTTGGAGTTTTCAAATGACACTTTATTAACAATTGTCAACGCTCCGTCCCGATTTCACTCGTACAGTGTGAGCTGACATGCCACCCCGACTTTTATACAGCCTGGCTACAGTGTGAGCCAGGCTTAAATCAGTAAAATCTGTTTGTTAAAGTTAGCACTACAATGAGTCAGAGTGTTATGACAACTGTTGTGGTTTAACCAGGAGAATAAAGAGTCTTCTGTTCTGTCTTGGGTATAACCCACAGGAGATGTTGGTGGTGTTGAAAATGTTCAAATAGGCCTTCACATTGATTTTTCTTAAAATTAGCTTAAATAATGTGTGCGAATGGCCCTGTCTGCAGCAGTGTATAGCCTAGCTTCTGTGCCATCAGCTTTCTCAACATCTTGGGTGAGCTGACTGGCATCGCATGTGAGTAATACTCATATTATTGACAAGTACCTCATACAAGGCCACTTACAAAGTAATGAACTATCCCTGTAAGCAAACAGCACTGGCACAAGTGTGTGTTTTAAAGTATTTTAGTCAGAGTTTATCAGCATGAAATGTCCCTAAGACATTTTGGAGTGCAGGAATTTTGCTTTAGCTGAAAAAGAAAATTACATTTCATGTTACTAAAAATCTGTCTGTTGTCTGGGTATGATTTTACACAGAAGGAGACTGAGGTTCTGAATTTGTGTGTTAGATTCTGACCTAACTTGACTGAGGTGAGAAAATTTAAAAACTTTAAAGGGACATACCAAAAACAATTAATTAAAAGGGATCATTATTACTATTGCGCCTGCGTGTAAGACTCATTCAAAAGGGAGGTGGTTATCTGTTCAGTGTTATTAGTCGTCAGATTGTGGATTGTTTGTCAGCCAGATTGTGGAAAACTACTGACCTGATTTTTATGAAAAGGGTGAAGGGTGTGGTGGGGCAAAGGAGGAATCCGTTTAGTTTTAGTGCGGATCCAGATCTGATCCAGAAACAAATAATGACAGTGATTCTGACTAATACATTCAGACATGCTGTATACTGTTGTATCACTTGTAGATGTTGATATCATAGAAGACAGGACTACAGACCTTTGACTAGATATGGGCTCTTCTTTTATTGATGCTGTTTCAAACTAAAGTAACATTTTTAAGGTGACGCATCCATTTCGGATTTCAGCTTTATTGCTCCTATGCCTTTTGAGGACCTGCCATGATGTCAGGTTTTAAAACATAAATTGTATCTCTCTTATGTCTCTTTGTCTTTGTCGTGACCTGAGAGATGGCGTACATGCAGCAAACAAACATGCAGCACCAAAAGTGACATACAGTACGTGTTATTGAAAGAGGAACTGGGAACTTGTCTTTCAGATTCAGTTCCTTGAGGGTTGCCTTTAAATGAATCCATTTACGTGTCATATGGTCAGAATGATCCTGAACGCTGATGGTCGCCTTGTTGGTGAATGTTTAGGGGGGTTTGTGTGAAAGATGTTAGACTTAGTGGTTCAGCCTGTTTTAGTTTTAATTAAGCACTGACTCCATACTAGCCCCAAGTGCTGCTCAGTAGTTAAACCTAGGTTGTCATCCTGTGTTGAAAAGAGTTTAAATTGTTTTACCTTATTACTGTTTACCATGAATAACCTAAAAAGATATTGTTAAAATGTTTTTATATATATTTATTTATGCATTGTGTGTGTGTGTGTGTGTGTGTGTGTGTGTGTGTGTGTGTGTGTGTGTGTGTGTGTGTGTGTGTGTGTGTGTGTGTTTATTAAAGCCGGAAGCCTTTTTTTTTTCACATTTTGCAGGAGAGATTGAAATATGACAAAAAGCTGTAAACATCAAAACAATGACAGATCACATGCCGTGTGTGTTCTTCCAACATGTTTCCTTCTATGATGTGCATGGGATTTTACAGTGACTATATTACTATATTGTTCATCAGAACAGCTCGCCCATCCATCAAACCTTCACAAAGTTAAAAATGACATTCGGAGTAAATTACACCATGTGTGTATTTTCAGGATGCAGTGTTGTTTAACTGAACAACTATTCAATTGAAGGTGTTTCTTTTTTTACCCTCTGTCCCGGCCCAGTACAGCGACAACTCAAACTACAACCCATATTAAATGTACACCCTTCTATAGCATAACCTGTACATTACAATCATTGTAAAGAAGTTATGCTGGATCAGTCTGATTGCATTCAATTTGTTGGTCAACCTTAAAAAAAAGGCAAAGTAAGCACCAGAATATTCGCTGACACCATTGACCATAGAACATGTGGGATTATATTTTATTATAACATCCTAAACAATGCTAAACATTTAACCCTTTCACAACATCCATTATAGTTGTATCTGAGTGTTGATCTATATTGGAGCTTTACGCACCAACACAGGTTAGCAGCAAAATTACAAAAAAAAATATCTAGTTAAAAGCGATGAGGTATTTTACTTTAATATTTCTCTTTGTTACATCAGTAGTCCTCACAACACGGAATTCAACTGCAATGCGTCTTGCTTTAGTGCTTTTATTTTGACAGAGTGATATTGTCACACAAAGGTTCATTTTAAGCCCTTGCCTTTTTGCCCAAAGTTACATGAGGAAATGCATATTACGCCTGTTTCTGTTTTAAAAACTGATGCTACAGCCACAACTGGTTAGCTTAACACAAAGACTGGAAATAGCTGGAAAATCAGCTAAACTTGCTGCAACTAAAAGCAAGAAAATTCAACATCAAAATGTGACTCAAACAAGGCTTACTGTGTACCATATGTTTAGTCTTTGTGCTAAACTTAGCTAACCAATCCAAATAACCAAATGCAAAGAACACTAACTTTGGGATGAACACTATTGCTGTAAATTACTTCTGCTGCACTGAACAAGTTAACACACTATGGTGTCCCCGCAGCAGTATCTAAATAGGTTAATCTCACTCTGTAAAATCAACAGTTCAAGTTAAATATGTAGTGCATAAAATGAAGTTAGCAGCTTTGTTTATATAACCTTAAGTGTCACACTGTAAAGTAACAAACTTGTGACATGCAGCAGCTCTGACCAAGTACTGCTTTTCTGGTTTGTCCCACCACAGGGTGTAACTGGGCTCTTCACAGTTTTCCGTCTGAATGCAGTCACAAGATACATATCTGTGATGGTTTAAACACACACAAGCACGCAAACAGTTACACTGGCACCTCTTAATATACAGACACATAGTTTGACCCGTCGAGTCTTTGGGCCTGCTGTACGGAGGTGTCACTGTTCTCATAACTATCTTTATATGCATTATTTTAAGAGGCTGTGATACTGTAAAGAAAGCATGCTAATGGATTCAAAATGGCACTCTAAGCAGGTGCTGCTACCGCTTACTTTACACTTAAAAACATAAAGAATGTGCTTTGACATATGTCTGTTGTTCACTGGAATCTGTCACTTCAACTTTTTAGAAAGCTTGGCTAAAGTCAGAGTCATTTCTCAACAGACTTAGATATTATTATTCTCTTACATGGATAGTTTTTGCTGACATTCAGAGTTTTTCTCAGACATCTGGAGTCCCACTAGATTCAGTCTTAGCACAGGGTCACAAGATTGTGCCCACACAGCCTCAGATGGGGGAATGACACACATGACCACTGACTGTGGAAAAAAACAGATACAGGGTGCGTTGCAACAGGAAGTGTTGCACTCCTCATCAGCAGAACATCAGTTTGACCAGAATGACTGCAGTTTGATGTCCACACTCTGTAACTCCTGTGGTAGTGCTCGGATTTCGTAATCGAGTCTTCGCTCGCCATTTCTTTTGAGCTATGTTGAGTAATGCAATAGAAAGACAAGAGTCTTTGTTCAAGAAAAAGTATCTAAAAGCAGGCTTTACTTCTCTGACTTTTGAATTAACTTAAAAAATAAATAACATGCTAACTACATAACAAAATGCAATGACTCATCTACAACAGCGAAAAGTTCATTTTAAGTAGGATTTGTTTTACACAAAATCAATTAAAACATCTCACAGAACAATCTCAAAAACAAACATGACATGTCTCATCACAAGATTAAAACCAAAAGCATTAAAATGGTTAAACCACAAATATAAACATTTGATAGGCAAAATTAAAATAGCAATTGTTGTGTGTTAGAGTAAAGCAGGCTTTAAGTTAACAATAGTTACATTCAATATTCGTATATGAATTGTTGAATTTTAAAAAAAAGGGCAAATATTAAAACAAAGTTCTAGAAATTATAAAAAATAAGTGAATACTTCTTGTATAACAGATTTTAACAGATTTATCAGCTCCTTTAAGCAACATAGCAACGATACACAAACAATACTTAAATCTAGTTTCAGTACGCTCTTTTAAGGAAAGTCAGGATACGCCCACAGTCTCACCCAGAGAACAAATCTGCCTTCGTCTTGTCGACGTCCTCTACACAACATCCAGAGACCGAGACAGACATTAAAAAGGTGTCCACAGAGGAGTTGTTGAACTACTGAAAGCAAATTGCCAAAGGTGGTTGAAAAATGCAGGCTTTCTATATATCTGTGAATTAGCAGGGGAACTAAAAACTTCCTTAATTCTATCAATTTAGGCTGGTAACATAAGGGTTCTTCTTCTTCTTCTTCTTCTTCTTCCCCATTAAAACGAGAAGATGACAAACTCTTCCTACCAAACATGTTTTTTAAGGCTGTGCAATGATGAGTTCAGTTCATTCTGTCACGTCAAAAGCAGCCCATTAATTTAAAGAAAGTACCCTCCTATGGAAAAAGATATTCCAGCGTGCATTTGGAGAGCTTTTTTTGTGAAACTAGAAATGCATTTAGGTGTGCCTTACACATTTTTATGTTCACTGATACCAAAGAAAAGGCACATATAATAATAATAATAATAATAATAATAATAATAATAATACATTGGTTTTATATAGCGCTTTTCTGAAAACTCAAAGACGCTTTGACAAAAACAAAAAACAATAAAACAAAACAAAAAACAACGAGGACAGTACAGCGAAGAAGTAATGTAGGGGGGGAGAGGGGGGAGTTAGTGGTTGTAGGTAGTGATGAAGAGGTGAGTTTTGAGGGATTTTTTGAAGGAGGTGAGTGTGGGGGAGTCTTGGATGTTATTTGGGAGCAAGTTCCAGAGGGTGGGAGCAACAATGGAGAAGGCCCTGTCCCCCCAGGACCGATAGTTTGTCCTGCAGGGGGGGAGTGTGCCGGTGAAGGAGCTCAGACAGGTAGGGGGGGAGCCAGGTTGTGAAGGGCTTTGTAGGTGAGAATGAGGAGCGTGAAGTTGATACGCTGGGGGATGGGGAGCCAGTGGAGGTCATGAAGAACGGGGGTGATGTGGTCTCTGGTGCGGGAGTGTGTGAGGAGACGAGCAGCGGAGTTCTGGATGTATTGGAGCTTCTTGAGCGAATGTGATGGTGATCCGTAGAGGAGACTGTTGCAGTAGCCTAATCTGGAGGTGATGAATGCGTGGGTGAGAGTCTCGGCAGCTGAAAATGAGAGGGATGGGCGGAGGTGGACAATGTTTCTGAGGTAGAAAAAAGCCGTTTTGGTGATGTGTTTGATGTGTTTGTCATAGGAGAGGGTTTGGTCGAAGATGACTCCAAGGTTACGGATGTGGGGGGAAGGGAGCACTGTAGAGCTGTCGATGGTCAGGGAGAAGTTGTTGGTGGATTTGATGAGGGATTTGGGGCCTATGATGATGACGTCTGATTTGTCGCAGCTGAGTTTGAGAAAGTTGGTTTGGAGCCAGGATTTTATTTCAGTGATGCAATCAGTGAGGATTGAGTGAGTGGCAGGAGTGATGGCTTTGGTGGCGATGTGGAGCTGGATGTCGTCTGCAAAGCAGTGAAACTGGAGTCCATGGCAGCGGATGATGTGACCAAGGGGGAGCATGTACATAATGAAGAGGAGGGGTCCGAGAACAGAACCTTGGGGAACACCTTGGGAGAGAGGAGCATGTGGGGGATTTGCAGTGGTTAATGCTGATGAACTGGTATCTGTCAGAGAGGTATGATTTGAGCCAGGAGAGAGCAGTGCTGGTGCTGTTGACCACATGCACAATAAATAAAAAACATTCAAAGCAGCTCATCTGTTTTGATGTGCTCTCGGTAAATGCATGAGATGAGCTTGTTTAAGAAACAGAGACGAGGCAAAAACTGTGTTTCCCATCACCAGCTGATATCAAAGGAAAACCATCTCCTCCCTGCAAATAGCTACAACCTGCAGGTTTGAACTTAAATGTAAATTTCTTAATATACAGAGTTGATTGAACATTCTCTGACTCACAATAATAGACCTCCTTTGCTAAAGTGATAAGGTTTTTTGTACATCAGCATCGACTTGAGAAGCAAACAATTAAACTTGTTTGAATTTTAGCGTATAAATGATACAAATTGTATAAAACGTAAAAAAAAGAGAAGTACACAAGTCAGAGAATTTGATATATTTTGACACACTTGCAGGGCTTGTGACAGAGTGAACTGCAAAGTTTTCAACACAGAGAGATTGTTCCTTTGACATGCAACGTTATTTTGTGCAGCCTGATCTGAGCTAACATCCAGCATCGACACAGGACTGTATTGGCCTGAAATGAGGTTCCTGAGTTGGATCTATACTTATGTGCATTTTGCTTTAAAATACAATTCTTGTGAAATATTCACAAACAGGAGATATTCCATCACATTTTTTAGTTCTTTGGGTGGATGGTCCTTCGTTTCCTGGTTGATAGTCAGCAAAGGTTTCAGTGGCCTCCGTGTGTTTCACAATGACTTAGAACGGCTGCTTGACAAGCATGCAAGGGGACATCCAGCCCTCTCACTTCTTATTCCTGATTCCTCATTTTTCTCTGGACTACACAAGAGTCAACTATCAGACTCCACTGTGGGTATACTTAGACAAGGGTGAATCACAAGGCACGTGGACAGGCGTGCGCACACACACACACACACACACACACACACACACACACACACACACACACACACACACACACACACACACACACACACACACACAAAACCAGTGGAAAGCTACTTTTTTTCTTTTTAAAGATGACACGTACCACACTGCAACACGATAGTCTAATATGCTCTCAATCTGTTTAATTACAATTGAGTACAAAGTATTGAATATCTTTACTCCCTAACTCATTATGTTTACTAACAACACACATAAATACATGCATATTTACATCCATATAAGGCTTTGCAACCCTCCTCCCACCCCCATCCCTCCAAACAACCAAGTTCCTCTTTCTCTATTGCTCAAGTCAGACAAGGATGACTCAGTGCGGATATTAATCATGTTATTTTCTTGTTATCTTTACATCTCACACTGTAAAGTCTGCCTGTCACAGCCGCAGTTAGCCCGTCTATTATTAAAAATCTGAGAACTTAAACATTGGTTACACTTCTTAAATGTTTAAAACAACATGGCCATTTGTTTGGCTCAGACAATATGATGACAACAGTGATCCTTTATCATACTGAACTCTTATATTTAAGACATGAGATTTAATGAAGTATATGCAACACAAAAACATAGATCCATATGAACCATTCCACAACTCAGAGCTCCCTTTAAAACATCTCAGTATATGAGAAACATATATTTCAGAGCTGATCCTAAATGGAAGGAAAACTTCAACTCAGGCTGTGTTACCTTTTTGCCATCAGCTAGCTACAAGAGCAAAAAAAGTCTGAGAAGCAGATAGTGCTTAGGAAGAAGACTCAATGTTGTGACAATAAAAAAGTATGTTTTCCCTTTTCCATGTTGTTGGGACAAATGTTAATGTCAATGTAAGCAGTTGACTCCTGTCACATGCACCCCCTGCTGGTCAGGCAGTTAAGTCAGAACTCATTTCACAAGTTTGACATTGAGGAGGCTCTACAGTTGTTCTGGAGAGGAGGTGCTGCACATCATGGGACCCAAAGAAAAGAAGGCACTTAAATCCATCAATGTTTATAATGGTTGCTATAATAAATAAATAAATATAATAATATATATAATAATAAATAGATAAAATACCTGTCCTGATTCAGTTCTTAAAATATTTTTCTTTGAAAGACAATTAAAAAGATGAAAGAACTATGAAGGTACTTTAATTACATTTAACTAATGCATTACCTCCAAGTAAAAGTCTCACATTCAGAATCTGCCTATTATAAACTATGGAAGTATTATCAGCCAAATTAAAAATTTCACAGAAAAACAGTCTAATCATCTATCATCTGATACCATTACACTGATAATACGTGACTGATAATGTTCGATTATGATTAATAGGACAGAGAGGCAGAAAAGACAATGTTTTCCACATCAAGCTATTAAAGTTATTGAAATATTACTATTTTAAAATGATAAAGGGAAAATCCCTCACAGCAAAATCAGCATACTCAAATTAACACTATCAGAGTTAACATTAACACTTTTTAAAACCCTTTTCACACATACAGAAATCTCCTGAAAAACTCTGGAGATTTGGCTACCCGGAGGTTTTTAGGCTATGTGTGAACGCAAACAACCGCATTTTTCGTGCGGACTTTACCCGGAGTTTATCCGGCCAGACCCCTAGTGTTTTATCCGCAGAATATCCGAGTGAGCCGATGTCTGAACGCGGCCAAATATACTCCGGAGATTTCAATTCGAGCCAATGGGACCCGAGTGACGTTTATATACAGTGACTGTTTAAAGTGTCTGCACGCGACACCTACGATCTCCGTGCACATAATTAAACGATTGCATTATGTTTTCTGTTGGTCAGTATGTTGTTCTCCGCTATTTTGTGGATGTTGTCATTCCATTGGATTACACATAGCATTGATATAAAGGCAAATATTCTCATTATAACGTCGTGTAGAGGACTCTGTTGCTACGGCCGCTTCTTCCACGTTGTTTATTTACGTCACGTCTTACATCAGGAAATCCCCACGGCCCTATCCCTTCTGACAGGGAAAGTCCCCTGCTGTGAGGAGCATATGTGAACGGCTAGGTCAGGAGAATCTCCGGAGAAGTCCTCCTGTAAATATCTAGATATTATCCAGAGTGCATATGTGAAAACAGCTTAAGTGTTACTATTGACTAATAGTGTTAGAAATTCACTCTTTCAGAGTATCTTTTTTAACTATTAAAAGTGTTACCCCCATATTAACACTGTGTTACCCCCATATTAACACTGTGAGGTGTAAACATTGCTTTAATGAATTACTTAAAAAATACACTCAAAAAGATCATGTTTGATTAAAAAACATTTATTTTAAAACATGTGCACCACATAATCATTTAAAACACTTTATAAAACATACAGCAATATGAAACAATGTACGCTCTCTCATTTTCATTACAATATTACTTATCAGTGTGGAAATGAGGCCTGGAAGCTCACGTAAGCCATCATAGGTGTTGAGATGTTAGACTGAGTTGTCTTCAGTCTCCATGCAAGACAACCTGTATTGGCCGATCTGTTCCTGCTCATGCATGCACACCATAGACTGCACACACATACACAAAAAGACACACCAAAGACACAGTAAAAAAAACACACACACACACACACACACACACACACACACACACACTCAAAACATTTAGTTAATAATCTCATAGCATAACTGCATAAAGATAGC